AAAAAGAAAAAAAATTTCTTAAATTATACAATCGCCAAATTCCGCCTACATTGTACATAAGAGAGTTTTATAAAAATCTAATAAAATCATTTCACACCACTTTTGGGTTATATGCTCGAGTGTATTTGGAACTCCACTTAAGCACCTAGAAAAAAACGCACCTTCGCAGCGGGAATACTTTAAGAGCTTTGAGGGGGAGAAAAAATATTTCTTTTTCTACGTTACTCGCGTACGCTTCTCGATGACCACATTAAAAGTTTCGACAGAGACTGATCCTTAAGTGTCTTGCACGCGCAACACGTATTTCAGTAAGCTAAACTGTAGTATGCATACGTGATAGTATTGCTGGCTAAAAGCACAACAGTAATAAAGCTGCGATAAAGTTGAATGAAGGAAATGGTATTTGTTGCAGAAACAACTTACAGACCTTTAATGTACGAGTCCAAGTGGTTAATTAGAGCCTCAAAATTCTCTGTGAGTCAAGTTGCTCTACGTCAACAGAAGTAGCGGTAAAAGACAAATTATAAATTCATCGCGCACGTGTGTTCCAGTAAGCTGCGCAGGAATAAACTTTCGTGTTCATGACGTTAATTTAAATAATTTATAATATTGCTAATGAAATTGAGGTAAAATTATAATAAAAAAAATTTCAAACCCATTTCGATAAAGTTGAACGTTTTGTACGGTCTATGATGAGATACTTGAAATAAAGTTGAAAAAAAAATTTTGAAAATTGAAATATCCTGAAACTGCATTATTTTTATCCAAAACCATCACTCAATTTAATATGAAAATTCTATTGTACGTAAACGCCATTTTTGTTTGACAAGCATCTGGTCTTTCTGTCGAATGATCATCTGGTTCAATATAGTAACTATACATGACAAGATATATTGCACTTTCAAATTATCAGAGTGTAGCGTGAAATCGATTGGATATTGACACGTCATCCTTTATGGAGCAGTACTGATAAGGGAAGAATATAAGTAGTCGATAAGATGAGTAAACGAACGATAGTTTATTTTGCAAATTCGTTGACAGAGAAAAATTATTCCAAGAGATATGAGTATATTGGTCATTGATTTTTTAATCGTAGAACAGTTGGATTTAAAAAAAAAATTTTACCACTCTCAAAAATTGACTGGGCAATATATTATTGATATTTGCGAATTTATAATCCTAAAAGCGTACCAGTTCAATTTTTATCGTTGCAAGATATTCGTGATTGGGAGAAGTTACTTTGTAATTGTATATAGAAGGATAATTATTATGCGTTCCTGGTCTGGAATTTGGGAAAGAAATCGGAGAACTTTCTCAAGCGATTACATTGAACTCAGGGATACAGAAATTGCTCGAGGAAATAATATCCCGTTTATCTGTGATCATATCGGGAGTTGAATTTATTGGGTCAATTGGGGATGTTACGGAAAATTGGATAAATTAATTACATTCCCGTTACGATACTCTCTCTGTTCTTAAGATGAATACGTCGAAGAAAAGAAATTGATTTATCTTACATAAATGAAGCATGATGTCAACGTTGATATAGCAATACCAGTTATGTCAGTTGACAATGAAATTTGTGCTTTTTTCCTATAATCTGCCATAATTGTTCGTTTAAATTGAACGTGTGACGTTCAAGAAGAATCACATAAATTCATGTTGCGTAAGACCGTCTCTCTAAAGCGCAGTGCAACTGGCTTTCGCTCGATAGGTCATCCTTCTGCGTTACGTTAATGTTCGATGGAAAAAAAATGCAGTGCTCGCTTGAAAATTTCATTAGCAGTAGCCGAGCGCTGCTTTAAATGGATAAATCGCATCGAAGAAGCTCGTTGCAAGAACTGTTCTGGAATTAAATGAAAATATATTCTCCCCGTGAATTTCAGGCAACAAATTACTTTCCGCGCAGTTTACCAAACCTACCAGGATGTTTCGTTCATTCGTCGAAGCTTAAGCATATGCCGGGTTGAATATTTAACCGATAGGCCCAACAGTAAAGAGATAATGGCTTCAATTAAGCCATCTCGCGTTTACCGATCGAGTAGTTGCTCGCCCTGTCGATAAAGAAGAGTAAATTGAGAACCCTCGTTACCGACGCTGATCGAGGTGTGACTCTCCATGAATTACAACGGCCACATGGCATTCTTCTTGACATCTGAAATATATAGCTATTTTTAGGAGAATAATTGAATACTTTATTCGGCGCACCCTGTGCCTATACTCTGCGTAGAGAAGGGTCTATTAAATTCCATGTAGTTACTGTCGATTCTTACTCACCTGTATGGAAATTGAGACCTCTTAAAATTTACTCGTAGAGAAATTGTGGTAGGCATCGAGTTGGGATCCGAATAGTCATTTTGTGTCTGCTTATCGACATCCATTAAAAATATAACGAACACCAAGAGAATGATCCTCGAAGAAAAAAAGAATTAGGATTTGCAGTTACAATCGTCATGACAAATGATTTAGGTAGCGTATTCATTTGGAACCCCTTCTCAAAATTCGTCATTTAATTTTTTCTCGTTTAACACTGTCCCCAAGTTAACAGCTAAAGGCGAAGATTCGGTTTACCTTGTCCTGTCATTTTCAGGATATCAAACCAAGGCGAGCCAGTCAGGGACAATAAAGCGTTAGCAAGCCGTTGGAACCCACCAGGTATATTTATACGTGCCTAGGGATTTCGTAGCATCCAGAATCCACCCTTGTTCTTTGGGCTTGAAAATTTCGTCGTTCGTTAAGCAGTTTAATTAGGCGTCGGTTCAAGCGTGCGAACTTAATTTATTGACATTGACGTTGACAACTGGAGAAAAGAAATACATACATCTTTTATTATTTTAAGGGTTGGCCGGAAACATCGTTTATCCTATAGGTGATTTGAAAATAAAAATACAGAAATTGACTCACCCCCTCGTAATACGTGGAATTTACTTCCATAATCTCATAAGGATCGGGAATCCAGGTCGCATCTCGCATCTCATTTCATTCAATGAAAATGAAGTGATAAACTGAAAGTATCATTGTCGGGCGAGTTACTTCGAAATTACTATGGCGACAGTACAGCCAATCAACGTGGTCAATTTGTGAAACGGTGAAAGGTGGACTTGGATATGGCAATATAGTATAAAAAAGTTATTCGGACATGATGCATTAGTTGCAGATGAATTTTCTACTTAATTAATTAAAAACTATTGGATATAATATAAATCTAAAAAGGAAGTATGATAATTATACAGGAAGACTGTAATTAGATATGCAATTAGATGATTCGAGGAGCAAATTTTATCGAGCTTTTTTATTATGCGATTATGCATATAGGTAGGATTTTTCAAAAGTTTTCTTTAGTTTATCAGTGCGGCTTAAAATAATCAGAGTGATTTTCCGGACAAAAATGGAAAAACTTGCTGAGAGGAGCAAAGGAAATTGTTGAAGAGTTTACGTGAATTTTCTTTGCTGGTAAGGACGAAAATGAAAAAAAATATCTTACAACTGCTTTTCGTTTCGTTTCTCAAGTAAGATAAGAATAGTTGATAAAATATTTTCAAAATATTTTTGATTAATTTCAAACTATATTTACTTAATTGATTTACTTATTCAGTATAGAAATTTCTCTTATTCAACAGCTAGGAGATACCTTGAGTTACCGTCTTGGAAGCAAAGTTATCGGAATAATTTTATTTTTCATTCAAACGGATTAAACAATATAAAACTTTATAGGAATTGCCCTGAATGCAGTATTACTTTTGCATCTGCTTGATAATCGATAAATGAAAAATACAAAAATAGGGGTTGTCACGACATAATTTTAAGGTGAATTAGCGGGAATGAATTGTATCAGGTTGGATTTTCTGAATAAATTATACAATTAACATAAGTGCCACGACGACGTTGCAGTAGTTGCAAAACAATTTTCCGCTGCCACAGGTGTTATTAAAGTTTACTCATTTAGTTATAAAATTTCCTATACCTTATACCGAATTGAAGTGAGCTATATATTCGAGTACTTCTTAAAAGTTTACCATCCACATATCAGTACTTATAATTACCAGTTGGTATGCAATTTTAGAAACACTTAAAATCGTCAATGCGTTGTTTATATGACTATATGACAATATGACACATGCACATGTATGATAGGCAGTAATATTCCAACGGTACACAATTCACCACTCACGGCCAGCTAGTTTCAGCAACCTCATTTGGTACTCCTGGCTCTGTATAGTATGTCGTACGTAGCACAGGGTAGCATGATGGCTCATAGAAATTCATTCTATACTACGTGCCGGGACGCCGAAACTTTCGACCATAGTATAGAAATACCCACAAAGCAGCGAATTCAAGGGTGAACAAAGTAATCAGAGCAACGTCGTCATATTGCATACAAACTGCCGACAATTACCTTCGAGAGTGGTGAAGTAGAATCCCAGTGAAGATTCGCGGCGATGGAAAGAATCGAGACAACGGCGTTCATTCGATATTCATCGAGTTATCGAATGTAGGAACAGTGGCGGGAGTTACATGGACGAATCATATTCGCGCGATTCCTTGCAGCGAGAAATCGGATTATTGTACAACAAACTGGAGATAGCAGTCTTCTTTTTAATCTTAAGACATCTTGTAAATTATGTACTTCTGCATGATGCAAACGAGTGAGTTTTTCAAGAAAGGACAAACAGAACGAGCGAATCAAGAGCGTGTTTTTCTTTCTGAGCTAATCTAACCTCTTAACGAGTGCTTGACAAGTAGTATAATTTTGATCGTGAAACTCTGACACAGGAAGAAAGACCAAAGGTACTTCTGAACTCACTTTGAAAAATAACATTAAGTCACGTGATTCGGCTTTCCAGCGAGATTGCGACAACTATAAATAAAATACAGCGTTGTTGGCTTGTCGACCTCCTTATCTGCAGAAAGACGCGTACTAACCGGCTAGCATCTACGAGCTGCCAACGTATTTTCATTTTCACAAAGTGGATTTCCAGATATCGATACCAGATGATCGTGACCGTTCTGACCCTATCCCAAATCTGGCTCCAGAAAATCCATTTAAACCGCCTACGTCACACCTAACCCCAAATTTCTCTATCGGTTGCTATTTTCGGTAAATCGTGACGTCGAATCAGACACAACTGAAAGGTAACGTAATTGCAATATTATTGACAGAAAATTTATAGATTCTTCTTACTCGTTACCAGCGATAATCTTATTCAGATTTTTGTACATTTTTGTGCACATGTAAGAATCAATGTTTTGTGTTGTTTTATACCCCAAATATTAGCATTAGTGGAGTTATCATTACTTAGTATGGTAATAGGATAAAATGCTTAAATTTACGTAATTACAAATATTAATTTTCGATCTATCGTCCTTGACGTTACAGTAAAGGCTAATTGACCCGGTATAAGTCGCGCGGGGTGATCACGTCACCCCGACTCAATGCTTTTTAAATGCGGAGTAAAATTGCGCCACAGCAGCCACAGCACTTACCGTAATTATATGGCAATTGAATGTAACATGGTGAGGGAACAAAATTAAATAATCCTAATCTTGTTGCTGCCTAAAAAATTCGGACTATATTCGGCTTTGGCAATTTTGTAAATATGATAGCCTTACCTACAGTAATAACATGGTCACTTCTAATCATTAAAAAATAATCATATTACGATCAGATTAACAGCTGCTACAACTATAATTCCATTTACAATGTACTTACTTAAAATTTGAAAACAGGCACAAATATGTATATCGCATAGTCGGAATAAGATGATATTCTGATAATACTTAATAATCATTTTGGTTAAAGTTGCGTTTGATGTAATTCTAGAATTTACCAATAGTCACGCATCGAGCTTATATGCGATAAAGTCTCTCGAGAGCTTTTAAAGCTGACGTTCACCTTGAGATTTTCGCCCCGAATTCCCACCAGAAAGAAAAGAAATAAAGATTTGGCACTGAGCCTAAAAGAAAATTAAGTTAAATTTTTTAGCCACAAAAATTAATTTTCCTTTGGTCAAATGAAATAGGTACGACCATAATTTTTAAATGCTTACGACGTAAGGAATATGAACTTAAAAATTGATTCCATTGATAAGAATTATAAGGATACAAAAAATAAACTGACGGTGCCTGTGCAACGGATAATACAGAGTTACCGTAATATTTTATTCTACACAATCGTGAATTAGCTGTTTTTAATTTTATTCAACTTCACCATATAGTTTCTTCGTGCGCAATCAAAATGCAGCAAAACCATTTACAATAGTTTATATCCCGTGATATATAATGGCGTTTAATTACTATACTCAGTAAACACAATGATACACGTAATATGCATGTTGTGATTTTCCATTCGGATACATAACCTCAATGTAGCAGCGCTGCTCTATTGAAGTTATGCAAGCGAATGAGAAATTACATGTAATTGTATACACGTAGCACTGTATTTGTTCCCTGTACCAATTGCTATTTAATAAAACGTATAAGTTTGGTATTATTATTAAATAATTTACTAAATTGTTGTCAGAAGTAAAATACAAGTAGAATTAAAAATAAGAATCAAGAAATTTATAATATATTAATCCAAATTAATTAACGTGGACGAGTTTAAACGTATGAAACTATTTTGTAGGTGCTGGTCTTTTGGGTCACGTAAAATCAGCAAAGTCAACTGGATGCACGAACGGAAATGCACTCAGGCTGCTAGGTTGAGGTAGAGAAGGTCGGAGTGAGCGTCAGATAAATAGTGCGGAATACAGAGAGCAATTGATGGAGAACGTGACAGACCGAATCGAAGGTGTAAAATCGAAATTCCTCCACCAATTATATTGAGAGCATAAATAGAGAGTACTCACCGGAGCTGGTTCAGCTTGTTCACTCAGGTATCCACTGCACCATAGCACAACACTGCACTTCCGAAACACACGCAGAAAAATCTATAGAATTTTCAGGATATAGCGAGAGCAACGCGAGAACTTCCTGTACCGTACAGGAAACACGGATAGAAAAACTGTAAACAAATAGCCCGTAAGCGCGAGGCAGCTCGAGGCACCCCGATCGGTGTCCCAAGACAGACTGATGAATGACTGATTTGACAATAGTTAAATTCGAGAACTAATCATTCTGATTGGTCGAGACCCTTATAGCCAATAACTATTATTCTTTCCTTTGAGTCTTCCTTTTTAAACTAAATCGAGAGCATTTCTTAGCAAATCGGTACGTAACAAATCGGGATATACTCCACGGTCGCTGAGCACCACATCCTTAACCCGGGTCAGGGCGTTGCTCCACTACCCTTAACCCTATCAAAACTGTATCTCCGCCTGCTCTACAACCCTTTGCCCATCTCCAGCGGGGCGCCGGTATGTCACCCGGGCTTCTGCTGGTCCGTGGAGACGTCTCCGTCGGGTACTCTGCTCTGCCGGGTGACTCGGTACTTCGAGACTATTTCTTCACGGCATATTTGAGTACCGCGACCTCAACTGAATAATAACGAATTTTCCGAGAGCATCGGCCTAACTGTACAAATCGATTCGAGAACGCGGCTTCTGATCAGGATGGCGACTCGAAGGGAACCAGAAAGCCGAAACGTTATCCGAATCGGTAGCTGGAGTCGCCTCGTGACCGTTTACGAAATCAAGTCACAATTAATAAAAATTATATGCGAATTTTCTTTGTTTAAACAATTAAATCTCATTCGCACCACTGTACTGTAATACTAGCATTTGCTAGCAGTGTACGATTTCTAATGGAATTTCAAATTGCATGAATCGCATAGCTAATGACTTGTACGTACAGTCCCATAATTCATAACTGTTGCACATAAATATGGCTGAAGTCAACTGAGCTCGAAATAACACATGTGTTACATATTTTCATGAATATTCACGAATAGTTTCTCATGCTTGGGCAATAATTCAAAAATTAACAGAATAAGGACCTGTACCAGGACAATCATCTAGTCTGTTAAATTTCCAAATAAGGTTAAGGAATTGTGTTTGCATTTTAAAGATGCACTTTAGTGGGTTCCGCTGTGCGATAATAGTCGTCTGTTTAATTGTGTTAATAATTTCTTTTGTGAAAATCTATTAATATGATAACGTGATACGTATTCAAGTATTTTGTAAGTCGAAGAGTGCAAAACTATCCAATTTTCTAAAGAATCGGATGGTAAAAAGTAGAACACACGTGATAAGATTAAGACTACAAAGTAACGAGTCTGAAAACGAGGTAAATTTTAGCACGATAATTTCAAAATGAGAAATTATTGTAATAGTAGGGAAACCAGCGAAGCAGATCTTATTTAAAACTAGCGAAATCGAAAACGTAAATTATCTTAGATACATTCTCATCGGGAAGAAAGAACTTTGATATTGGTGCTCGCTATTACCGCAAAGTTTACAAAGTTGCAACCCAGACTATGGGGATTAGTAAGACAGCAAGTACAACTTTTCAAGAAGTTATATTTTCTTGTTTATATTAAGTAACTATTTTTAAACAGTCTTCGCCTTGGAGTACCGCATGTTAAAATGCAAGTACTAAATATATAGATATACATTTCCTAACAAGGAAACTGTTCATGATCGAGCGTTGACGTTTAATCAATTGAAAAACATCACTACCTCCAAATTTAAAGTTTTCACCGAGTTAACTTCTCGCGTTCGATGTACTCGGGACATGGTAGTGGTACTATTGGAAAATACAAAGGTGCAGAAATATCCCCGATTAACCCACTTTAGAGATTATAGCGAACATAGCTTCAGCATGAAAGTTTCCGTCTTCTTTCCCACCGCCCACTTATCTATCTGAAAAAAAAATATGTAGAAAAATATTGATGAAAAAAATACAAAACACTCATGACATGAATTTCCTTTTAATAAACTTCATTAAACAACAAGATATTATATTAAAGAATGAAATACATATAAATACTATACGGTGCTATCTGATATATGCGTGTTCAACGTGGCTCTCATATCTATATATGTATACATACATACATATATATTATAATATTAAATAATAAAAATAATCTTGTACATCGATATCAGTAAGTTTTATAACTGCAGGAATGTACATCGTATGACGTGGAACAATTACTGTTCTACGGTGTTGATTGGTTGCACTGAAGACCGCCGTCCATATGTCATAATTCTGCTTGAGTTACGGGATAGCCTCCAAACATTCTTTAATGTGTTGCCAGGTTTGAAGTCCCTGTAATTTAAAAGAATGAGTGATGTTTTATAAAGCACAACAATACTATAAAGAAGCAACAAAATTGAATAGTACTAGAAATACAAAAAAATTATAAGGAGAGAGAAACTATGGATGTGACCTACAACGATGCCATTCAGTTACAGACATAAGTTTGTGCGTCCTTGTAACTTTCATTCTTGGTATAAAGGCTTATGCAATCTTTGTTTAAGAATAGGGATAGATACCTTTCGAGCGAGTTTAAACTGAAGTATGCAATAAGCGGCTAGCGTTTCTTTCAGATCAATTATCTTTTGCCGTTGAAATCTATCGATATCTGCCATTGCTTTGATCGAAAAAGACCTGGATATTAATAAAAAAAAGATGATTATGCATTCGCATGAATATTTGCTACTAATTCTCCATTGATATATGTACGAACTTACTCCAAGTCTTCATCCACTCGTTTAACAGCTATCTCGTTCTGATTAATTTTTTGTTCTAATTGAAGTATTTTCAATTCACGAACCTCTTCCGTTTCTACGGAACCGAATAATCGATACATAATACCCAATTTACCTACACAAGTGGAATAAAGTTATAAAAATCGATACATCATTTAGGGAATTTAATTATTGCATTTCAACTTTTGCAATTCGAATGATTAGGGCAACTGAAATAAATAAGCACCTGTTTGAAGTCGATCTATTTGTTTGTGTGCAGTTGTAAGTGCATCATGTGCTTCGTCTTTTGCCAATTGCAGAGCTTCCCTACGTTTCACCACAGCTTGCAAAGCTGAAGCACCGAACAACCATTCTTTTAATTGATCAGCAATTAACTCTTCTTCTTCAAGAGCGGTGTCTATACTGGCTGCGATTGAATCCAAATAATGACCTGATTTCTAAGGAAGTAATTATGTAAAGTACATGATCCCGATTTTCCTAAGGAGACCTCATATCAATACTAAAAGATTTAAAGTACCTGCAAGCCATCTCCCATTTCTTTTTCTATAGCACTCCATTCACTGAACACACGACCGTAATTCGCGTGCAGTTTGTACAGACCGTATTGCTTCTCAACGAGACGTGCACGTACTCGTAAAAGGTTGCACAAGTTGTTCTAAAAAAGATGAAATAATGATAGAGTAATCAGAAAGAATAAGACGTGTAAAATTTGTGTAATGGTACTATTATTAATAGTAGCAACGTATTTAACTTTGGAAATATAACGGTGCTTTTCTAAATGTCATTTATTTATTAGTAAAGGTTTAAAAAATATTTTAATCTTATAGAACACATGGTGGAACGTAGTAGGAGAATGTATACATATATATCTTACTGAAAAACTTTGACCATAATTTCCTAAGATTCTAATATGTTATAGGTATTGCAACTCTCAAACTAGTTATTTACTAGTTGCTTACCTGAAGTTCAATCCCATAGTTCTTGATAGTTTCAAATCGTTTGTCTGGTTTCTTTAATCTCACTGCTACGCTCAAGGCTTTTAACTTAGATTCTGCTATCTCACGATATCCTGAATATCAACAAATTCACACTTGTATCTTAGAGTTAATTACTTGTTGTGACGTTTTCTGTTTAGGGTTACTAAACACTAATCAATACCTACCAGTCTCCTTAATACTTTCTCGCCAGCCATGCTCTTGTTGTAAGAATCCCATGAAGTGCTCGTCATGAGATAATACAGGATGAGAGGCCACTCGCAGCAAAAAATTCTAATAGGAAAAATTAATATAAAGATTCTCTATTATTAGAGAGTTATCAATAAACTGTTTGAAGTAATTAGAACTACCATAAAAATACTTTTGCTATATAATAAATATTTTCTTGCGATAAACTATTTACATTTAAATAAGATGGAAGTCGGTAGATAACAGAAGACAGCAAATTTTCTTTAAATGATTTAAGTCTGTCATCGCTTTCATGTTAATTAAATTAGCACTGATTATTCGACATACCTCGAGACCGGCTCTTCGACGATCAACGAAATCAGGATCGAATGTGTCAGTAGCTACCTTCTCCCAAGCATAAAGAACTTTCTTCTCTGGTAAAGGTGGCAAAACAATATATGGGTATGAAACTTCTAAGTACGCTCGAAGTAATTCAAACTCTGTGTAGCGTCGCCATAGAGAGCTTAATCTGGTTAATGCTCTTTTGAAATCTGGATCAGTGACTCTGTAAAAGTGAATAAAAATAATTTTTCAATTTACTAATCAATAATGTTGCATGCATTAGTAAAGATAAAGATGAGTGTTGTATAAATAGCATAGTTAACATACTTAGTTTCAATGAGGTAGACGGTGTAGAATTCCCTTATATTAAGTGCCCCATTAGCTCGCTTTTCTGCTTCAACTATAGTAATCTCCATATGATCAAGCAGCGAACCCTAAAAAAATTGATACACAATGTAGCTCTTGGAATTATAGATAGCAAACAGTTGACTAAAAAGTTTTTCGACATCTCATATATGTTCGGCATATATATTTTTAGTAGTAAGTGATATACATATAGAATTAACAACAGATGGTCAATACTTTTTACTGTTCATATCTTTAATCTACTTGACAACTCATGACATGCCTTGATAAAAATGTATATGAATGTTATACATTTGTTTAGTTACACGAAGCATCTAACATTTCATAGCAGTAATTAAATATACAAGTACAAAACATCAATCAATTCATTCATGTAATCTGTATGTAATGCTAATCAAAAATAAATATTTTATTTCAGAATACTAAAAACAATACAAGATCTATCCTAGTATCTGTGAAAACTATTGTAAATATATTTTATTTAAACTAACTTTCAGAATGTTTAATAAAAGGTACTTTTTAATTACATATTCTAAAATCAAATTTGCAGCTTATCATTGACAAGACGATCAAATTTAAATTGATTAAAAAAATTTTCTGAAGCTCGATTGGTAAATTAGAGCGTAACCTTACCGCCGTTTGAACAAAATATTCACGCAGAAATAATTCAGCGGAATGTATCCTTGAAGATTTCATATTGTAAGTGATACACAATTATTAACAAACAATAAACGCATAGTAATATTGCCCCATAGACAAACGGGGTACAAAATGTACGAGAAAGTTATTGATTTAGTTGGTGCAATAGGTATACAATACATACCTCCTTTCGTGTCTCAGAATCCGTTGTAGTGGCGTTCGCCACTCTCTCGTAATTCCCATTTTGAAAGATTTCTTCCATGATTTGGGCGCGGTTCTTTGCTTTATAATTGTGTCAATCAACACGACTACCACCAAACCGAGGAACTGCACAACATAATACGTGACATCGCGAACTATACCTTCAACTGACAATTGACACCCACCCGTTAATACAATGCGGGTCACGAATCGTTCGAAGTCTCTTAGTCAAGTCGTCGGCTTCCCAGGATTTCTCGACTGTATTATTATAGCGCCTCGGTATGGTTAAAAGAGGAACTACGTAGGACTTTAAAAGTTCTTGCACCGATGATGAGTATTTACGAGAATACAGAAGGAAAACAGAGAGAGTAACATTGCTGTTACAGGATGAAAAATATTTGCTTCAGAATTGTACAATTAAATTGGAAGATTTTATTATAGCGTTTTCTGTGATTGGCAAAGAGATTGTAAGAACCTATATGTGGATTGTTTTTCAGAGAAATATTCTTTTGTTAGGATTACGATAAGAGGATTTTATATCGAGTGGAGGATTTGTATAATACTCTTTCATTAATGGATCGATGACAATATTAATTAATGATTAAGGACACTGAGACTGTGTATGAGTATTGTTACAATTAATATTTCTTTATAATAAATTATTTGATTCAGTTATTCACAGGATAATTAATCTTTTTCCTGAATCAAAAGTAATTATGTAACCAATAAGGGAGCACAATTTTTTTATCGATAAGTTAGTTAATCGTCAGTTATATACCTTTTATGTCAGTGCAAAATGTAGTGTTACGTGTACATGTAAATTTTTGAAAACTAGTTAATTACGCAATTGTGTAATAAATGGAACTTAAGTACGATACAATTTTAAGTGAAACTATTCCAACTAGTTAATTAACCTCAATAGACTTCTTGATTGGCTTTTAAGATACAGTACTACAAGCTGCAACGAGTGGCAGTTTTATAATATAGATATATAACTTTGCCCGTAACATCAATAGAATGTTTAGCCAATATGGCGAAGAGGTTCATCGACCTGTGAATATATCAAATATACAATTAATACCAATAAAATGTATTATACTTCTTTTTTTTTAATTTTATAGACAAAATTTTCAAGTTCAGTCTAAAATTCATTTAATAATTTTTCTTTTATGCCATTAAGTTGTACATATAGTAATTTTACGACGATCTACATATGCATGTAGAATCAGTCATCGTTTTATTCATGCTCTATACTTCTGTACTCTTGTGTACGTCGGGTTGCCACATGTAGGCGAATCGTGTTTCACAAATCGACTTCTTTAATATTTATGTCCCACAAATTTATAGGAGTGTAATCGAATTTACATTATACAGTGAATATATGCATATACATATACAAATTAATTATTTCATTTCACAATTGATTATATATTATACATGATGATCTTCATCAGCAAGATTGAATAACTAATGAATTAATCATATCATTGAACCAGGAAAAAAATTACTACCAAATGTAACCCATAAGAAATAAATATCACATAGTTCTTTAACAGGTGATTTATGAGGATTTACAGCAGCGTATGTAAAAACTCAGCAATATGAGATTCATCTGCACTTCAAATTTTTCAGTATCACTTACACGATTTCATAAACGGATATAATACATTTATGTCTGTACAAACAAAGCATGTGTTATTGACACTGTATCCCCGCATATATTGCTGGACAAAAATGTTTGCGTTAAATAAAAGAAATAATCTTGTCTTATCATATCACGATACTCCATGAAAATATAATATTGACTGCATAAGAAAAAATAGCAACGCTTTTCAAAAATAATTTGAAGATTGAAATTTACAGTATCTGTACAACTATATGTCGACCATATAATATACCACGTGGAGATAATAAATTTGAGATACCGTCTCATGCAATGACTACGAGAATTTAACATCCACGCAAATACGTTAATTATAGCTATGACTAATTATCATTTACCGTGCACAGTTAAAATACTAATCACGCAATTTTCCCAGTTCTCTCGCAACTGAACTGATCAATCAACTTAAACCCGTAAGGAACATTTCTAACCTCAATCATGCATCAGTCAATGCTACTAATTGTCTTGAGAACTAAAAAACCCATTATCACGTATACTTACAATATCGTTATGCCAAAGTATTTCACTATTTCCATAGAATTACCCGAAAAGAGAAAAATTATTGTAACTCACATGGTTGGTCTCACGCATCAGGACACGACGAAGGTTCGTAACTGAAAAGCCAGCTGATCGTCGGCGCGTTATTCTCGTCAATATTATTACGCAGAAAGATATATGTACTGTTTTTATACAGTCTATTTTTTCAAACATTTTAGTTTAGGCATTTACAATTGACGCCGTCACAGTATTGCAGATACGGACGAATAAATGAGGTAACAAAGAAGACAACATGACGCTTTTGTTCTAATAAATCTTGATGACTGACAGGTTTGTCAATAGACATACTGCGTGGAAAAATTTGGACTTTTAATTGGTGAAAGGTTACTTGCTATTCTATTTGGCGAATAATGCAGTAATGATTTTACTGTTTGCTTGAATGCAGTTGGTATTCTGTTACGAGTATTAAACAAGGAACAAAAATTTCACACGGTCGATTAACGCGATTCGAGAATGCGGGACTGGTCTGCGTGAAACGAAAATGGTTTTACGTCATGCTTGCGCGTGAAGAGTTGATCCAAACCGAGACTTATCAGTGGCAGAAGGACTGTATATAAGATTGGTCCCTTGTATGGAACGCTCAGTATGCTGTAACACTATAAAGATATAATGAGATACAGTGATAAACTTATAGAGTTAATAGTTAATTGTATAATCGTGTTTAGACTTCGCAACAATGAAAAACATTGAAAAATCAGGAAATAATAAGACGGAAGTCTTCGCGATCACTTTGTCGGATGATAATGTAGATCGCGGATTATCAGGTGAGTGCTGGGAATCGAGCTTATGATTTATAAATAATATAAGCCCCTTGCATAGAATGAATAACAATGTAGTTTAAAATTTACGGGACTTCTTCACACTGTTAGCCATAAGTAAATGGCCCCGGGGAATAAAAACTGATCTTGTGGACAAATCGTATATTTTTGTTGGTAAATATAAATAAAACTGAGATAAGGCATAATCTAGGTTTGTCGTAAATAATAACTAACAAGTGCATTCAATTTTTAAGAATAAGCCTGTTGGGTCACATACGAATTTATTTGGTTACCTTGACCAGGTCAATCGAGTACCAGTTAATCTGAACTGAATTATATTTTAATTTTTATCATTGACCTTAATGCATCATTCTTCTTCAGCTCCCGAAGAACATTCTCCAACTGATCATGCATATGACTTTGACTCCGCCATAGCTCTTACTGGTGAGTCAATGAACAACCTTGATATCCGATTTCATAAATGTGAAATTTAATCTCACGTGAAATATTTTTCTGTTAGACTTTGGCCGTTTCAACATAATGCTATACTTAGCCATAATGCCATGTGCTTGGGGCTGTATATTCGATACCACAAGCATATCCTACGTACTTCCGTATGCAGAATGTGATTTAGGAATGACATTGTTTCATAAAGGGCTACTAAACGCTATAATATATGCCGGTAGATAAACCTTGCGTAATGCAAATTACCATTGAATGTAATTAAATATGAGAGCTACGATCGTCGTATTATTTTTGAGGTTAATTAATAAAAATTTATCCAGGAATGATGTCCAGCGCATGTGTATGGGGATATTGGGCTGACACAATTGGACGGCGCCCTCTGTTGCTGTACGGCCTAATATTGGATGCACTTTGCAACTTCCTCATCAGCACTTCGCAATCCTTCTATGTTCTGCTGACTTTCAAATTTTTCAGTGGCTTTATGTAAGTATACTAACACGTTGATAAGAAATTCTAAGGACTCATATGTATTATATTTACAGTGTGAATGGTCCATTCGCAATAAACATGACCTTCGTTGCGGAATATCATAGTGAGAAATATCGATCACGTGCTCTTTTACTGATAGGACTCTTTAATGCGTCAGCCCAATTCGTCTTGCCGTGTAAGTATAAAATTGAAATTTTCCAAAATTTAAATACGGCCATGCGTGATGGAATTGATGTATATATATATATTTTTTAATTTATTTTATCGTATCAGGTGTAGCTTGGATCGTCATACCTCAGGGTTGGTCTTTCGAATTACTCGATGGAGCCTTTGTCTACAATTCCTGGCGTCTCTTCCTGTTCTTGAGTGGTCTTCCTTGCTTCATTGCTTCCTTGACAGTGTTGTATTTCCCGGAAAGTCCAAAATTCCTGATGACACAGGGAAAGAACGAGGAGGCGCTGAAAGTCTTCCGATGGATGTATTCGTTGAATACTGGAAATCCGCCGGAAATGTTTCCAGTAACTTTTCATATTTTCGTTCGTTCCCCGATACAAAAAATTATACTTAGATATTCCTTATCTATGAATCCTTCGCTTCTTATGAAAGGTCAAGGTGCTACGACAGGAGGATTTTGCTAAGAAACTTAACGATAACAAGCTAAGGAATCCGAATTTTTGGCAAAAGACTTACAATCGATTGGTGCAAATGTCGCTGCTATTTAGGAAACCGTATTTCAAGTCTTTTATGCTTATTGCAGTTTTGCAATTTGGTAGCATTTTGGGGTTGGTATCAATTTATTTATTCAGCGCTGAATTAATTATTGAGCATTGCTCGTTTGAATTCATTTTATTTGTCAGGCTCACGTAAGGATCTATACATTTTTTCTAGCTTGAACACATTGCGTCTCTGGTTACCTCAATTGTTCACTGTAATGGAAAATTATCAGAGTATGCAGTCCGATCCAGAAGTTGGTTCAGGTACTTTTTGCGACGCCGTGAACAACATGACGAGTTTAAGCAACAACCGTGTAAATGATGCAAATACATCAGATATATGCGTACCGGTAAGGTCATTGTTTTTAATTGAATAATTTTTATTTTTTTACACAGATTTAAAAGTTTCATGAAAAAATTTATATTTTTTGTACTTTATTCCATTCAATTTAAGTATATGTGAATGTTACAGGTTCCGGTTCCAGACGCGGTATATATAAACTCTCTGATTGTTTCGGCAACATCAGTAATTTTGTATTTGCTTTCAAGCGTGGCAATTAATAAAATCAGCAGGAAGATTCTTATGAGTATGTATATTGGCAAAGGGATTAAATATAAACAAATTTTTCAATTTATTCACTTCAAACTATTTTAAGTAACTATGGTAATTTTAATTCTGAAATAATATTATTCTTATTAAGATATTTATTTAGGAAATATTTTTGTTTCTTACTAGTGATCTCCTTCTTCTTCTCGTCTCTGGGTTTCTTCGTATTCTACTTGTCACCCAACTCTGATGTGGTTTTGGCTCTCTCCGCATTAACTGTTTCCTTTTCGAATATAACAACTCTCACGATTACTAGTATTTTGGTTGAATTGATGCCTACGTCTCTCAGGTTTGTTACTGAAGTATTAATATTGATGAGGATTTTTAATTTGTTGATGAATATTAAGGTGCATAAAGATATAATGAATTACTATTACTTCTTTCAGAACTTTAGCAATCTCTCTTGTTATGATGATCGGACGGCTTGGTGCGGTTAGTGGAAATCTTGTATTCCCTATTCTTCTGAATCTAGGATGTTACGTACCTTTTTCGACCATTGGAGGTTATCTAGCTTGTAAGTATTTAAAAAAGTTTTTCGAGATTACATTGTCAGTTTGTTAACTTATTCTAAATATCATCGCTTGTGAGATCCATAAAGTTTTTAGTTTCTAAATAATTTTGAAGTCTCGATTTTTGTTTGATCGGAAGATTTTAATCTTTATGGATATTACAGTTATAAATATTGACTTAAGAATTAGTGAATATTCACATGATACAAGTTAAATATTATGTTTAGAAACCAGAAGTGGCTTTGTGCGTTTCTTTGTACTAATTTTTCTTATTAAAGATTTTCATGTCTCACTTTTTTTTTCAGTATGCCTTTTGATTGCTATCTTCATCCCAAAACCATCTGGAATACTTGTATAGGTAAGATATAATAATGAATCTCTTTAATTTCTATTGTATAATCAACTTCGGTTCTATCAACTTTTTTTTTCTAATTTATTAGAACGTAATACCAAAAAAGAGGTCAAGATAAAATATTAGATTTCATCCATTATATTTATAGAGCATTAATAGGATATTTGTTCTATGTCATAATAATTGATAACATACAATATGCATTTAATTAAAAACTTTCTAAATATAGTAATATATTTTTATTATGATGTATAAATAATATAAACATTTATTTCATGTAAGTTTTATGAGGTATGATTGAGCCATAGTTAATTAAGCACTATGTGTATCGTTGGTCACGAGAATGCGAGTTCCATAAATAATACAAAAAATCTAATATCAAACGCGTATGTGCGTTATATATTACAACAATGTACACGCAAACAAATAATTACCATTAACGAGAGAGGTAACAATTTTCAGTTTGCGAATATCTGCTTGTGAAAATAACAATAATAATAAGGGAACGATATTCGCTTGGTATGCCTATCTGTGTTAAAATGTATTATTTACAACAATCTTATGTTCGTTACTCGACGTAATTCTGTATAATATTTTGCACTAAGGGTTTTTGCATTTTTATTTTTTTTCCGTACCTTCGTCGCTTACTGCTTTTTTTGTAGAACTACTATGCGTAGGTAAGAAGAGAACAAGCAGTGCACAGGCTAAAACAAAAGAATGTTTTTTTCTAAGTCACATCAGTCTTTCAGTTATTCGGTCTATATTATTGATAATGTCAAAGAATCGAAGAATTTTTAATTTATCAAGTGATATACATATTTTTGTTCTAAATTGGTGCACTCGATTTTAAAAATGAATAATTTTTTACAGGCGTATGCTGTATTATGGTATTGCTTTGTATGTACATACCGAGACATGCGGAGCCAATCATTATGAAAGGTCCTAAACAACCTATATTTAATAAAATAGGAAATAATAAATTTCCTATAACAGCTCCGAATCTGCCAATTACCATGGTTACACTGACTGCCATAGTTCTGGAAAGGAATATTCATAATTTAAATTTTATGATTTACATTTATAGAAATTTCATATTTTAAGTGTAATGTTACTATAATTTTATGATTATTATAACATCAATATTTATTTTATACAAATGTTAATATTAAACTTTAAACTTAAATTATAAGTTAACATGTTCAATGTTAAAATTATATCAAGTATTTATAGTTCTATTGAATTAATATCAAACTTTTATATAATTAATTATGTACCTGAGATATGTTGGAAAATTGTCAACTATAACATTGACTACAGTTGCACCGCCAATACTGGCCATGGCTACGAAAACTGAAGAAAGTCCTAAAATACCATTAGAGTCTTCAGCCCAGTAAAGAATTCCACAGCATGAACCAGCCAAGGCGAAGCAAAATACTGAAGAATATAAAACGTATATCTCGTTATATGAAAAAAACGATAATATAAATGATTAACATATTATATTAAATAATACAAAAATTACCCATAAGTTTCTTCTTCCCTACAGCATTTATCAATGTACCAGCCATAGTATATCCTATAACTCCTGTAAGAGCAATAACCATAGAATTTATATAAACTGTGGAATCCAGAACCATCTGAAAATTAAAAAATGAAATAGTTTTACTTGGATAATATTTCTTAATATATTTTTAATTATACTACAGAACTATATATTAAAACAAACCTCAGTGCAAGTATTTGGATTGTTCGTAGATCCAATTGTAATGTTACTTTGTGGTCGATAGTTTGTTTTATCCAACATGTAACATACCGATGGGTAAGAACCACTACTTTCAAGAGGATGCATACTTTGATATGTTTCTATCATGGCAAATAATTGTGGCATCCATAAACGTAAAGAATTTGATCTGAAAATGATTATTTTGATTATTTATTTTTCATACCAGATATTTGATGAATAACTATATAGATGCTGTGTGTTCCACAAAAAGGATAATTAATGGGACTAAGATTTTCAAGAACGTACCCCAAAGTAGCACCAAACTGAATTGAAGATATTAATATGAGTTTTGAAATATTTGGTGCTGCAAATAAAGGTTTGGTTTGTCGCCAACCGCAACGCATCATATGCACGAAACTCTTTCCTGATGCTTCCATCGACGTTTCCTCAGCGAGCGATTTCACCTAGACAAAAATATAACACTGATATTCAAAAATCAAATATCAAATCATTAGCTGACTACAACTAAAAGAAGAAGCTAAAATCAACGACTGCATATTATTAAGAAGACAAATGCAAATACCGGATACGTGTCAGGATGTTTTCCAGTATTCATGGCGTAGATTTTCTTAAAGACCTCGAGAGCTTCTTGCAGCCGACATTTGGATATGAGGAAGCGTGGACTTTCTGGAAAGAAGGATATGGCCAGACAAGCGGCAAACGATGGTATTGAAGAGATTGCAAGAAAAATCCTCCAAGAATTGAGAACGACGAAGCCGTCAAAGATATTCAATTGCCAATCCTGAGGTATAATCAGCCATGCGATACCTGTTGAACCGCAAGTATCATTTAAAAAAGAACGATCCATTATATTTGATGTTTCGAATATAAGAAATTGTTCTATTCAAAGATATAAATAACGCACAAGGTACCGATATGTTCCCAAGGGAAAAGAAAACACCTAGCCACATATAAGTTCGCGATCGGTGCTCTTCGCCATGAATTTCAGCCAGGTAAGACATTAGGGAGGCGAAGGGACCCGATATTCTGTAATGTTAAAATAATATAATAATTTAATTATTCATTAAAAATATTTTTTTAAATATCAATTATTATTTGTTATTTACATAACGCCACTCAGGAACTTGAAGAGAATCAGTATCCACGATGCTCTAGAGAATATACTGGCTACGTTAAATATGCCATCACATAAATAGCCATAAAATAAAGTATTTTTTCGGCCGAATGTATCAGTCGTCAATCCCCATATGAAAGAACTGCTAATCATTCCTGAAATAATATTTTGTTGGTAATCATCCAAATTTCATTGTTCAATCTAACACGATACGATCTTTTATCAATAAAATATTTAAAAATTTCTATAAAACATTACCTGCAAACACCATAGAATTTAAAAGACCTTTATCAAACATAGTCAATTCCAAATCACATTCTGCCGATGGTAAAACGTAGGACATTACGGTGGAATTGTAGACGCTTGCCCAACCCGCAGGCACGATCGCCAATAGCAGTAGATAATTAAACTTTCCATATCCTATTAAAAAAAAATAATAAAATTTTTTATTAATTATCAATTAATCAAAATTAAGATAATATTAATGATGTCAGTTACCAGCGAGTGTTATCGCTCGTTCGAAATCTACCGAACGTTCATCCGCCTTTTGGTTTTGACCTTTAAATCACAACAAAGCCATATGAAATAATTAAATCAGAATGGAAATAATTCGTTGAATTTTCAAATATCAATTAAATAATTAAAAATTCGTATAAAAACAAAATGAAATAAATATTTTTCCAAAGTTTTATAACGTATATTAAGTTATATCTCACGTCATTAATATTTTAAAAAATTTTTGCTTAAATCCAAATTAATGCAAAGTATTGCAATTTATTATTTTATTCCAATTTTTATTTTTTTCGTGCAACATTTCTAAAACTTTTACACTCTATCTTTTGTTAATTAACTAAGAGAAACGTGATCTTACCTTCACCTCCGTCAGGCTTCTTAACACTATCTGGTAAAGAAATAGTATAGAGATCGTTGTTTTTTACATCTGGCAATAATTTATAATTTTTAAGAGACTTATACATAATAGGTAAGACTAATTAACAAGGATAAAAAATCTTTTAACAAATTGAACTTAACTGTACGAAACAGCTATCGATACTGACTACTTCGGCCTTATTAAACTTCCAACGGTAGACTCAAATGTATTAGAAACTTTTTTTTCTCTCAATATTTTCCACACCAAACCAAACACGTTGTAATTTCTGTTGTATATTTACACGTACGTTTTGAATCCTTCCGAGTGTAATGGCGGGACGAATTAAATTTGAATAGAAAATTCTTAGAATTTCAAACTGAATTTTTTTGCAATTTTTAGATACCTTTCCATTAAATGATAAATTGATCGCATATAGATTCATTGATGATAATTAATATTGTTATTGGAATTCGAGCAGTAAGAAATTAATTACACTTTACATTAATTAAAAAAAAAAATTAACAAATTCATCACTCATCCCATGTGCAAAAATTATATATTTTATAACAATAGGTATATAACGTACGATTACGTAATTGTCACCACACGCGATTTTATTTCAAAGTAAATTTTTAAAAATTTTTTATAGTAAAATTCATGTTTACTTGAACATATCAAATAATGTTATCACTTCGCGAAACACAGTTGATCCAATTATTATTTTTAGAGATTAACTCGCCACGAGCAATATAAGAAAATGTTGTCACTAGTGATAAATAGAAGGATGAAAAATTTTTCATATATATTGTAAAAATCAAAAGATTATTAACAAATACGATCGAAACAATCCTGTACGAGGTGCTGCAGTTTTTCTTATTGTTATCAACCGGAATGACATAACTTTACGTAAACTTCACAGCGACGATGAATAAATCGAACTAAATTATAAAATCGATGAAATAACTTGCCTTCGTGATCTTTCGGTGAATTCATCAAATATCCTTTATTGTGACGTCACTACTTTTCCGTAGTTCACGTCAAAATTATCCGTCCGGGCGGAATCACAAAAATCGCTTTTAAAATTCGAAGTTCCCGGGTTCGCTTAACCAAGTGCACACTTCGTCAACATTAACTGCAACGCGGGAATGTCACGCTCGACAAATGATAGATTTTACACGAAGTGCGTAAATGTAATGCACAAGTGTGTACTTCGGGGGGAAAGTGGGGGAGAGACTGGTTGAAAGACGTGAAAGCGTCCACAGTGGGGCAGAAGCAGGTTGTTAAAAGAGTTGCTGGGGGGTATTGCTATAGTTGTTACAATCATTTAGAATTATGATAGCAACGTATAATGCAATATACAAGCAAGAAAATTCAACTCTTTATTGTCCCACGTCACCATCGAAATTCGAGTATTTTTATAAGATTTTTGTCATCAGCTATCTGGAGTGTGAAGAATTGTTATATCGGCTTATTAGACTTTGCCCGAGTTGATTGAAAATTTAATTACAAAATGCCATCAGAGATCACACGGGATATGCACTATAAGAATCGTTCAACTGTCTAGAAGTCTTGATATACTCTGTGGGTGATCATTGACAGTTTTACAAACTTAAGCTTGTAACTTTATCAGAGTAACTATTTATTTGTTGCTTTCACTTTACACTGTTATTTTTTTTACAGACCGATCATTGAAGAAATGCCGGAAATCTCTGTACATCTTATATATGACAAAGTGATGAAAGTTATTGAGTAAGGATTTTTTTTGAAGGAAAATACACGAATCCAGCTAGTTTCTAGTTACTGTACGTGTTACCAATACTCTATTTAAGATTCGTTTAAATTTAAAATATTTTTTTGGGTACGGCCATTTTCTTGTGCTTTCAGTATCGTTCGATTCAACTTAAATCTGACAGTATGTTATTACAGCTAGTTTTAAGTGACCGTTTTAATTGTAAAATTTTAATGTTTTTATTTATCGTGTCGATTTTCTTAAAAATATCATTTTTGTAAATTAGAAACTTCTGATGATATATGGCACTGGGATACTTTGTCACGTTGGTAGCTTCGTACCGTCAAGAGAGTCTGTCGAGTCCACTGCCATTTGTCAAACTATTTGTACGGTAAAGATTATTTTGGATATCTATAAGGTATTTGTTCCTGTAGATAGTAGTGCTGCATGGTGCATCCTATACAAATGTATGCTACAACTGAAAGTATTGTTCCATTCATATTGAGAAATTATTAATTTTATTTATACACATTCATTGACATTAAATAAGATTTTTATTCGACATCGATAACTCGTGATGCAACATTCCTGCGAGATAATGTATTTTTAAAGAATTGAAAAATATTCACATTACGACATGTTGATTATAAATAACTAGCCTCATTTGTTGACAGAGCATATCGATCATTTTTTGTTTTATACAGATGACAGTTTACAAAGAAGAAAAATATGCGAATCATAACCTCAGAGGATTCTATGCGATTTATAAAAGTACAGTTTTCCCTTTAAACTTACGTTTGTCAATTAACTGCAATCATGGCGAATACTAACCAAATTTCGGATATTTCCGAAGAAGGTTAGTCGTTTGATAGTAAAAACAAATTTAAGTATTATTTTGTTCAACCGAATTGACTGATTCAGCTTCAATTATATAAATGACCAAAGGAGATCGTTATTCAGAATTGTGTTCATTAGAATTTTACATAATATCGTTTTGATAAATAATTACTACTAACCCCGTTAACTCAATGAATTAATGAAATCTAAACTGGCTCTTATATGCATATACATTCAGATTGCTGCAATGGAAAATGATATTTTCCATAATTACAACGTAATGTAAATAGCATGTAAATACATGGGAAAATATCATAAATATTCCTCAAACATTGAAACATATCGTACGGTTAGCTCAAACATGTCGATTGGCAAGATGGCGGATGAATTAGTCATTATGATTATTAACATACATTTTTTATTCTTAAAAACTGACAAACCTTGAAAACTCAATCGTTTGATCATTAGTTATGCGTCTCTTGTTATAAAAACGAAAATTATAATATTACAGATACTAACAATATGTGGTACTCGACAGCAATGGAGCAAGCACGTAAGTGTATAATCTTTATCGTTGTAATTTTCCGTGACTGTACCTTTGTAACGTCGTTGTGTTGTTACCTGGCGTAATGACGTGGAGAGTTGCATAAGAATCATTATGCTCCGTATAATCTGCACTAGAACTCGAAGCTCGTAAAGTTTTTAAACATCCATACAAAGACAAAACGTTTCTTCTTCTTTTAGAATTTGGCCATTTCAATTACGCCGTCTTGACGCTAGGTGGCGTTATAAGCGCTACGATCGCAGCGCCCGGAAGTTCTTTAGTGGAAGCTCGTGATGTCATTTCTTGCGACTTGGGGATGAACCGAAACAATCAGGTTCTTTTTAATAAATGCACGATTATAGGTACACATATTTCATATTATTTATATCAATAAGTGGACTACTTTCACATTCTACGACAAAGTTTTTGTATTGGATAGAAAGTGTTCAAAGACATCGATTTCGAATATAGATAGAATATATTCTTATTGAGCATATATGCGCAACGGAACTTGCAATATGTGTCCTTGTGAATTACTGTACTATACGTATGCAATATATTTATTCTCTTTGTGCTCTGTGTACTTGCAATAATGTAGAAATAAAGTGCAATACAAATCCTGAAAATTGATTAACAATGTAAAATCAAGTTATAAATTCACTAATACAGTATGAGAGTCTGTTACAGCGTTGTATAACTTTTAAAAATCTGTGTCCGATATATTAGACATCAATTATATGTATATTTTTCAGCATTGATAGCAGGCAGTCTGGCGGTATCGATAATCGCTGATCGTTTCGGCAGAATTGTACCTTTGATGGTAGTCCTCATCCTTTATGGTATTTTTACCATGGCTTTGACATTCTGCACTCATTTTATTTCTTTCACAATTTGCTCCATTCTCCGTGCATTTGGGTAAACATATATGCAAAATTAAATATATTCTCTTTATACAGGGTCCTTCAGGAGTACTGCATCAACTGAAGTTAGCCCCTCCATTCGATCTTTATAAAAGATACACAGATGCACGGGTGATGCAATTCATTTGAACGACCCTGTATATAACAGAAACTAAAATTCTTTCTATTCAACAGAGCGTCAGCTACTTTTTGCATCTTGCTGGTTTATGTTGCCGAGGTTCAAACTCCCAGATACAGAGGATCCGGAATATGTACAATATACATGTGTTGGGTGCTCGGTTCACTTATAATACCAAGTTAGTAAGCATACTAGAATTAAGCAGTAACCTAGTTCATACCAATGCGTACTATAAGGAGCATACCTCTCATTCTAATTCAGCAACAGGAAGTGAGAGGGATAAATCTTAGTACGCAAATTCCATTTCAATGTAAACTGATTAATTATTAATTAAATTTGAGTAATAATAATCAAACCGAATTGATTATTATACTAAATTGACATTTCTTAATATTTATAAATATCTCTATTTATATATAATATTTCTTAACAGTTCTTAACATTAATTGGGGATTAGCACAATTTATGTTTGGTCTTGTGGCGGTCCTTTGTGCCGCTGTTGTTCCATCCGTTTTTTTAAGAAGTCCGCGATTCTTGTTGTCAACCGGAAGGAATAGCGAGGCTTGGGAAACTTTTAAGATAATATTTGCTCTCAATACTAACGAACATCAAAATGAATATTCGGTATGAAATATATATGCTTGTGATTGAAAATATTGAAGTCTATCATGCGGATGTTAATAATATTAATTAATTTCAGAAAAAACAATTAGTTGACGATTCGAATATACAGTTAACGAATCTACATAAATTGCAATTATATATACCAAAATCATTGCAACCACCATGGTATTGTACTGTAATCAGTCTTCAGACACAACTTGTATTTAATCTATGGTAATAAATAACTATTATTTTTATATAATATGTTTAAATAGATTATGATAAGAATGATTGAATTGACTGAATGAAAACTCATACGATATAAAATTTATCAATTTCAGTCTTTTTTCCATGAGTTGGTGGTTTCCAGAAATAAATGTTCGTCACGTATTAATATTTCCAAGTGTGTTTGAATCTATTGGATGCGCTAATGACAAAGGACCATTAAGAGACAAATATTTTCCAGCAGCACTGCGTGTAAAGGAGCAACAGGGTATTCATTATAAGATACTATTGCATAGATACACTTTTTGTTATTTAATATTCTTAACATTTTTCAGAACGGTTACCAGCCTTAGAAACTTTCTGTGAAATTGAAAAAACTGATAATTATTATTACGATGAGATGATGTGCATCGCTTTGACTAACCTGCCGTTTATAGTTTGGATGATTATAAAAATAGATAGTTCTGGCCGTAGTTACTTTATCAGTAAGCGTTTATGTAATGACACTTATAATTATTAATGAATTATTTGATGGAAGTATTCTGAAAACAGAAAATCAAATTCTTATTTCCAGTCTTGAGTCACGTAATTGGAGGATTTATGTCCTTTGTGGTATATTTCTTAATTAATACACCCCAAAGTGTCCTGTATACTTGTATTATGGAAAGTCTGTTATGTGTCAGTCGTGCAGCTGTTTCTTGTCTCATTATGGAATTTTGTCATACCAAATATAGGTACGGTAATGGAAAATTTAAAAAATGCATTTTCATCATTAAATCTATTTTTTTTAGGACACTGGGAATTGGCATGATGTATAGTCTAAGCTATGCAGGAATGTTGATTGGTATAAGAGGATGGATAATATTTGAAATGAATTGCGTCTTCATTATATCGATATTGGGTATACTGATAACAAGTACGTTGAAAAGTGGAAAAAAAAATAATTGTAAGAAAAATCAATTTTACTTTCCAATTGAATATGGACGATTCAACGATTTTGATAAATAAGTATTAAGTACAAAATTATTTTATTACGTCGTTGTCATTTCAATTAGCATACTAGTCGGTGTCTATAGATCCTAAAAAGTTCAAGATTCAATAACGTGCTCATTGCCGTATTATTAGAAACGATTATATCGCTTCATCCAAAGTATATTTCACTTTTATTGTTGACGTATTGTAGTAAGCGTTTTATTTAAAAAAATTAGATACGAGATTCGGTATTTCAAATATCCCGCAATTTCTCCTCCTTTTGAATAGTATGAAATAGACAGTGCGCGTCATGGCGTAATTGATTGTGTAGAACAACAGTAAGGGAGTAAGAACATTTGATTGAACACTCGTTTGTAATCTTCAATAATGATATGTCAATTTCATACTTTTAGATCTGTAGACCGCGACTCGCAGCTCACTTTATATCATGTATTTATCTTTTTTTTTTCAGTGAGTGGTTTCCTTATCCTCACGTTGCCCGATCCTACGGGAATATCTCTGCGTTGATTTTCAATAAAAAAAATTGTTATAGCCACCGACTATGGAGTCATCGGTGGTGAGGCCAACCCTTTGTTAGGAGACTTTGGTATAAAGATGCACAGAATCCCACTTGCTGACAATAAAAACAAAAAATAACATTAGCTTATCGTTTAGACAGAAGATTTACAGGCGGCTTCAGAATACTTACAAATTAAAAATGTACCAAACATATATATTGGAATGATACAGTTGAGATCAATAAGTGCTCCAAAAACCACATTTCCTGCAATTGCACCTAGTCGTCCAGAAGTCACTGTCAGTGACATAGCCAGTGCCCTGAAGACGTTTAATGAGAGATCAAATCAATATTTGGTATCAGTACTACAGATAATTATTATCTATGAGGAACAAACCGGAGACTGGTGGGAAAAAGTTCTACGATCACGCAGAAAAGTATGACTTCAGTCGTACTGGTAACTGCCTCAAATATGCATGAAAGTATCAAATTCTGAGTGGAGTTCTTGACAACGTTGAGGCCTAATGCAGCAAAACCAGCAGCCATGAAACTAAATATTAGTAGGAATTTCTTTTCCAGCTTGTTGATCAGTAGACTCAGCGATACTGAAGTTGGAATGCACGACAAGCCGATGATAAGAGTATACAGAAACACTGTACTGTCAATTGGCTTAGGGCACTCAATCTTACCCCCATCAACAACAATGGAGGATACGTCACAGACACTTGCTGATGGTCTGTCTGAATGAACCTGATAGAAATTCTGGAAACGTTCAAACAATTCGGGAAACCAGAGCATGAGTGTGTAATAACTGAAAAAATAAATGGGATATTATATACTATCATTTTTTGAATTGGCATTTTTTAACGTAAAGAAAAAACAAACAAGAAATTATACAAAGAGTAACAAGTAATACTTGACATTGTTAATTATTACAAGTAAAGTGCTCAATGTGTCGATAAAAATTATCGTTAATCCTTTTGCATAAAAATTGTGTGATTCATGTACCTGAACATCAGACCAAAATCTGCGAAACATGTGAGACTTATGTATCTAAGATAAGGCGGTGAAAACATGATTTTCTTTTGTTCCCAAATTCTACCCAACCGAAGCCTGAGTCTTCGAATAGCAGATTCATTCTTATAGCTCGGTCGCTGGATCTGTGTGGGATTTATCAATGATCTCACCTGATAAAAAAGCAATCAATTAACGAAATCGCTCTATAAATATATTTTGTCAGTTTTAGTGGCAGCATGGCTCACCGGATAATCAGATCTGTCTAATCCAGAATTAAAGGCAAACATGGTCTCCATCACGACCAGAGCTCGATCCATTTTTCCATGAGTCATTAGATACTTTGGAGTTTCCGGAAAGAAGCAAAGAATCATAGTCATGATTAAGCTGGGCATTCCGCACAGAGCTACAAACATTCTCCACGAACTGAATGAAAATCCTTCAATGTTGCCCAACATCCAAGGACGAGGAATGACAACCCAAGCGATACCTATAAAATAATCAGTACAAAAATAAAAACTGTCATGATCGATATGCAACTAAAATTTTCATAAGATTTCGAAAAAAAACAACTGATCGAAAGACAATTAACTTATGCCACTAAACTACACATCACCCAAGAAAAGAATTGGCATCAAAAGCAGCAGTAATTTTGAAGCTTATTACCTGGCAGTAAAATGACACCCAGGGTCCAAAAAATTTCAAGTCGGCAGAGCATCACATCCCTGTTCTTCGCTGCCAGAAATTCGCTAAAGTATGTAAAGACAATGCTAAGAGCACCAATGATTCTGTGAAGAAGAAAAAATAAGCTTTTTTGTCATAATCTCACAGCAAATGTCATTTTCATAATTTTGTTTTTAACCAAATTCAGCCTCACCCAAATCCATTAAAAAAACGGAAGAACAGAAACAATGGAAATGTCTGTGATAAGCTAGAGGCCAGTGCAGCTAGAGAGTCCATTAGCAATGCAGCAACAAGGGATCGTTTCCTGCCAATGGCGTCAGCAACATTTCCCCAGATATAAGAACCAACGACCATGCCTAAAAGAGAAATTAGCAATTTTCATACAACTATCACAAAGCACGCAATGTTGGATGATTCGTGAGTTAAATTAAAGCAAAGTATTCTGGCTCACCGACTAGTGGCGTAGCGTTTAGCTTTCCTTTGTCTGCAGATGTCATACGGAAGTCACATTCTGCTGATGGCAATACGAAGGATAACGTAGTGGTTCCAATGGCACATGCAGAATAAATAGCACCGCATACAACAAGTAGAATTCCCTGATATCTTCCATAACCTGTAGATATTGTCAAGAATTATCAATGATTTGAGCTATTTAAACAATAGTCGATACGAGTGCGATTTAGTCAATAACTTAAGATCGCTCAAGTATCTTGACTTACCCACTTGAGCGATAGCGGTCTCAAAATCTGATCCTTTCTCTGAAAGCAGTTTTAATTATTGGATTAACATCTACCGATAAAATTGATTTTACGCGTATTAAGGTATTAATATGTATAGTACCGATTTGCAATCTCATATCACTTAGGGATAGTTGAAAAGCGAATTAAAACTGGGTGAGCTTTTTTTTTATGTTCGATACGTTTCCCTTGGAGGTCCGAGTTCAACTGGCGCAAGTTTGACTACTAATTAAATAATATATCGTTATAGAGAGGAACCTGTCGTTGTCATCGCTTTGGGCGATCTTATCAACTATTTTTTTTTGTAAGATCACGACGGGGTACGGTAACCCGCGTCAGATCAAGCCGCCGCTTCTACCGTGCGATTCGAAGATAAAATATTAAGATTCACTTTGGTGAATTTAGATTTAGTGAAAAATCCAAAAATTAAAAGTTTATCAACACTATTTACTTATACTGTTACATCCAAATTTTTTAATAATTTCATTGTAAACATAACGCGTACAATGTTTTATTGTGAAATATTTCAGGGTGTTTTTCAAATTCTATGAATCTTTACTGAATACCGAAAAATAACAGATTATCCCATTCATCGGCTGAGGTTGATGCTCGAAAAATTTGTATGGCGGCATCCCGCTAGTCGGCATCCCATTTTCATCTGTTATGTTGGTATCGGATATGATTTTGTCGATCCATGAAAAATTTTGATCCGATGACGACAGCACGTCTTCGTATACCTGCGACGGCTGTGAGACAGTAAATAGAAAATATTTCATTTTTTATAAAAATGTATATAATGTGACATTAGTACGATCTCCCACGTGGCAGTTTTTCTAAATTTAATCGAACAAATGATACCTGCAATTGCTATTCGTCTATATCTATAAATAATGTAAATAAATATTTGATATAGATTCAATATGTATTCTGCATGTGAAGATGCACGTGCAGAACTGATGTAATATCAAGAGTTGAAATATAAAGGATTTAGAGTATATATTAAAACGCCCAAAAATGATAAAAACTCATTGATCTTCATTGATGTCGTGTACCCAAGATAAAGACACACGTTTTTGATTTTATCGACAGCCACGAGATCGATGACGACGTCGAAGCAGTTAAAACTAGAAATCTCTATTAATTCAATCGTTACGTGTTCTTGTATAGATATTTCAATTTGTCAAATTGAATCTCGATGAAATTATTCTCGGTAGGATCCAATGTAGACTAAATAAAGGATAAGGTATGAAATTAGAAAAAAAGACATATTTTTTAAAAAACTACCTACCACGATTTCCGAGACTGGAGGCAATTCTCTGGTAGGTGGAAGTTTATCAAAAGGTTCTGTTAGGTTTCCACTCTGCATGACCAAGAGCATCAACCACATGTAGTCGTTACGGATTGACAAGGCGTCTTTATTGCCGGCGACACTTTGCAACTTTTCCAGCCACATGAATATCTGCGACCTTTCTGTTGATAACAGTTCGAAGCAATAAGTCAAGAGCAATCAATTTCAGTCAGACTGAATCAAAGCCGTTTAATCCACTAATCGAAATTGAAGAAAAACGTAATCCTTTTGTTTACTCGTATCATAGTAACGTCCTTTTAGGTTAACTGTATTTAAAATCGTTATATCGAGATTATTAATAACGACTGTCCTTAATTTTAATGTAAGATATTTTACGAAGATTATTATAAATATGACAATAACAATGAAAATTATCCTTAGGCTAGCGATAAACTATATTTTGTAAACTACTGATAATTTTTCATTTGGTAGACAATTTAATCGAAGAATGACTTCATCTACAGAGCTTGATAATGATATATATTTAGATTAACGAATAGTTTGTCTATTATACGTCACAATTATAATTTATAATCGCAGCAGTCACGAGATGCACGTAAAATCTGAGATCATTGACTAAAACAAAAACTGTGTTAATCACTGAAAAATCATCCAAAACTCTATCTTATGTAAAGAAAAGAGCAGAACACAGTAAGTATTTATTGGGCTTTCTTAGGTGTCCCACTTCGTGAACACGTCACACGTATTAGACGTATTGGAATTCAGCGTGAAATTAGAAAAAGCGGAATTGCAATTCTTATTTCTCCATCGCGAACAAAACATTAATCGAACCTACAGTGAATGTTCGTTGTACGCAGAGAAAGTTTAATTCGATAAAAAGTAACGTTCGACGTTTTGTGGATTACGTTCGTATCCTTTCAAACATACGAGCAGTCATTGGATATAGTGATGATATACATTATATATTTTTATCAGTCGTATTTTAAGATCCTAAACGTACAATTACGATTACATGCTCTTATTTCTTTGTATAGGGGATATCAGCTGTTTACCCTGAAATATAAATCAACCATTTTAACTTATATTCTCGTTTACGGTTATTTAATGGTAATTCCTTTACTTATTGTGAATTTAAGTGAAGCACAAATAAAAATACAGAACAGCTTATTAGAATATTTTCTTTTATAACACATATCGAGTGACACATTCAGAAATAAAAATGTTTATACAAATGCAAAATTTCGTTTTCATTAACAGTTCACGACTGCTATTATAACCGATTTCAATTCTTCGTACGAGCACAGAGCCAATGACTACGTTTCTATCGTGTATGATTTAAAGATGAATAACCAATTATATGTAACATTTGAAGAGAATATGCGAAAAGAATATAATATGAATATTCATCTTAAATATTGCACGTGATTGGTTAATCCTGCTTGAACCCTACAGGATGGAAACGTAATTGATTACATAATTTCTTTTTACAGATGACTTTATGTTCCATGCGTAAGATAAGTAAGGAATTCGTTTCACTTCTGACAGTTTGTACGTAGCGACCTCTTTGATATTAGAACGTAACATCAACTGACCAGATCTGTCGGTAACTTAGCAATAACACTAATAACCAGAGTGGCTTAAATGATAACATAATTTTCGTTCACCATTGTGGCAGAAATGTATGGCGCTAGTTATGAATTGGCACATCAAAAAGAACTCAAGCAATAACAAAATGTTTGACACTTCTAAAGCATTAAATTTCCGATAGTTGACTATTTTTTTCTTTACGTAACCTGAACGTTCTTTTTTTCTGAACTTTGTGACAGACAAATTTCATTTATAAATTCTACGACTTAAAAATTCTACTCCTGCTAACCTTGTTCAGGAAATAGTTGTACGAGCGCCCTGGCCATCATGTTGTTGTACAAAAAGTTTTTATCCAAAACTTCAACGTCGTTAGCCATTTAGAATGGATTTATAAGCGTAGAGAATTTTAACCCAAAATAAAAAAACAGTAACACCTCGCGTAGCTCGTCAATTATGTAATTCAACTCTCTCGCATTCCTTTTTTCAAAACATTAAATATTGCAAAAAGTCGATATATTTCTTTTCATATACGATAACTTTTTGAAAACCCCAAGTACATAAGATACAATACGAATTGCAACACAATATGCAATATTGCAAAACTTTGATAACCCATTGATAAAACGAGTTTGTTTTCTCCATGAATAAAATTACAACTTCAAATTACTAAGATCAAAAAATGTACGCGACTGACATATAATCGGTACATACAGAGATGGTACATATATATATAGGCAGAAATCAATATCTCCATTAGCTGACCGAGCTTTACTGATTTTACATACTTTTATATCCTAAGAATTAATACGCGCACTCTCTTAATGCACAAGAAATGCGCATGTTGATCCTAAACTGAATTAGACTTTTGCCCCGTCATAAAGAAAATTATTATGACCGATCGACTTTATCAGCAAAGTATTGGCGTCATTATTCCAAGAATAAGCACAATAGCTGTCGGCGATTACACATTCGATGAAAGGCAGGGAAATTTAATTAAATTAAAAATCTAAAAAATGCATAATACACAGTGATACGCAACAACAAATTATTTATTTATCCATTTGTACGCGATTCAAAGTAGCAGCATTATTCAAAAAGATATCTAACTATATATCAATCTCAAAAAATCATGTACCTATAAATGTACATCAAGTAAAACAAATCTGTCTATTTCTCTAGTTTCGCGTAACCTCAAAATCCTCAACGGCAACAACCAAACACTATGCACGACTCAAGATCCTTGGCTTATATAGAAATACGTAAATGCTCGTTCCATAGATGGATATTAAACAGCCACCCCGAGGACATGTATTGTATTAGCCAAAAAAGTCATAAAGACGTAAAGTAAGTTTTATCTATAAAATATTTAACAGTACTTATTCTTCGAAGTTCCCCACATATCAGCAGCAGGCAGTTAAGCTATCAGTCTTGTTTTCGCAAGTTTCACAAACGAACCACATATGTATAAAATACAAATTTTAATGTTCTTGCCGACAATACCGATTGATCTTGGCTTGTGTGTTATTATATCGGACAGTCAAATATCAGTCGGTATTCGTTGCGAGATAAGGGAAGCGTGGCTCGAGCGAACTGCAAGACCCGGAACGACCCGACGAAGATGAAGCCCAGTATCGCGGTTCTACGAATGCTGTTAGGTCCGGTTAGACAGCTAGATAGTGCAAGTAGGGGTTGGTACGAGCAGGTTAAAAGGCGAACGTGATGCAAATGGGTAAGTCCCGGAACGATGCTTATATAAAGAGCGCTGTACGTAGGACTGTGGTGGCATTCGGTACTCGAGAGTTCCCTCAGGCATTTTACCGGTACATAAGAACGATCCTAAATGACAGTTTTTACTCAAGTATACATTTCGCCCTATAAATTTTGACGTGTATTGTGCCTTTCAGGAATGTAAGTAATCTTCATTGTTTTTTTAATTAATTAAGTAAATAACCCGTGGTGAGGATATCCCTTGATTAAATAAAGAAAACGTGATAAGGATTGATATTTATTGCACAGTCGATATATTTATTACGTTTTGTAAATATAACGGTAGTAACTTGATACCGATGAATAGAAATTCAATTATTTTTAAAGCAACTCTTTCTAGGACGGGATTTTTTGCTATTTTCAGGATTTTTGGAATTTGGAAATTCGCCACTAGCTCTGGTCGTATTGTTTGTGGTTTATATAAAGGTTTTGTTGCCTTTTGATTCATCCTCATTTATTCAAGTTTGACGGTATTTTTTTTTTTCATCTTTTATTATGTGGGAATAATTTTACTGAATTTTATGATCTCCTAAGGCATTGATAGCTGTTTGTGATTTTATATAGGTGATTTGTAAGCTTTGTAGCGATGAACGATTTTTTGTAACGTATTCAACTTAGGCACTTGTTCAACTATAGTAACGGATTGAAACCAAGTGACTTAAATGTGACAATTGAACAATACACTCGCAAGTGAATAAAAGTCCTTAGGATGAGAAACGAGTTATCGACCTGTCTACATTTCTATAACAAAAGTTACTTATCCGTCTCTTTTAACTAAGCCCAACGATTTTCAGCAAACAAGTGATTTTTACGAAGGGAATTGTATCCTTGCTACAGATTAGATTACAGCGAGGTCGAAGTGCTTTGTAGATGCACTAGCTATAAGCCACGCGCTATATATGTCAATTATCGCAATGTGTAGATAAAAAATATGAGACATTAAGATAAAATATAATAATGTCGAACTGATTGGGAAATTGATTTAAAAAAAAAATACAAATTCAAATTTGTAAATATTTTTAATAAAAATGATAAATTTTCCTCGAGATTTCTTTAAGAGGCCAATGAAAAGAAACAATTCTTGGTCTAATTACATTTTAGAGAAATTACGTGTTTACGTGACGTCACACTTATCATTATTTCATATTAGTTATCTAATGGTTGTTTCGTGTATCTTAAAACGACCAAATATTCTCATTAGTTGAAGCAGAGTGAGTTAACTGCCTTTAAAATACAATTTGGTGATTAGAATTTCCACTGCTACAAATTTTTCCGCGTTCCAGATAAGCCATATTGAAACTCGCATTTCCATTAAGCCGAAATTTGATATTACGCCCATTTAAAATCCATGGACTGTTGTGTCTAATATTAATTCTTGGTCGAAGGTTGTAATGTTTTTGTTCTTTCATACAACAATATCTCACTATTACGACATCTTTATGTAATGTAACTCTTCTGTATTACTGTAAGTATCGTCATTGTCGTAAAGAGAACAATACCTACTTCAATTTCCAGACAAACTAGTTTCTCTCATAGAACGTGTTTTAAGCTTTGCAAAGCAGTTTGAACGTACGTGAGAAAAAAAAATATTATTGTCTGTCAACCTGTGGACAAATCTTGTTAACGAGTATCTATTGCGTCATTGACAACTCTATTATAAGTATACTGATTATAGATATATCCATTCTGGACGTACGCACAGAATACCCAATCTTTTTATACTCATTTTTGTCCAAAAAAATTGTACGTTATAAAAAGTAATCTTTAATCCAATTAACGAACATCGCGTAATCAGTCCATTCAGTTTACGCAAAAACATTAATCGTATCAAAATACGTACTGACGTTAAAAGAGCCTGTATCATATTATAGATATATGTAAATTTGCGTAAGACTGACAAAATTACCCAATAATCATTAGCAGGAGAAATATCTCAACATATTATGTAATTTTTATATAGATAATACACCCACGAACACAGAAAAATGAATGTACCCTCATGACACTGATAGTAAAGACAGTGAAAGAACATTGTAACTTCTGGAAGCAGTACGATTATTTTCGTGGTTCTTCTTATGTTAGAAGTTCACAGTCGATACTACAGATGGAGCCACGTTACGGCTCGAAAAGAGAATGGAATTATTTTTACGAAGTACGACTTCTCCTATGTACGCTTATCCAAGAAAAGAATCCGTTTTAGCATACTGGACTTTGACGTAATGAACAAACCTCTGTTTATAACAAATTTCTAAAAATATTCGCCCACTTAATGTAATACCAATTCCAGATATTATTAAACCGTACGATATGGATTCGGGGCTTTTTTTTTTAAGTTCTGAATGAATATGTATACAGAAACGAATGTATAAGTGAACTCAGCAGGTATAATAATAATAATAATCAAAGAATTCTTTAAATCTTCGCTTACTTACGTGTTGAAAAATCCGTTAGATTTTCTTGAAAACAAATCGATATATCATCCAGAAATAAAACTCACGTGTAAACATCAGACGGGTTTATATTTACATATGTATATATTTTTAGCCACGCAATGCATAAGCGAACAATAATACATATGTATCTATGGTTATTAACGTAGGTCAAATCATGAAAACAATTCAAATCCGAGTTTCATTCTCGTTTTGAAAAAATAAATTGATGCATTAACTTAAAAAGGTCAATCATTCTGTAGTAACGTCATTCCAAATACCATGACCGTTAAATGACATTCTGGATAAGATGATCACTAATTATTATACTCTGCATCCAAAACACGTGCTGGATGCGTGAAAATCATATACACATGTAGAAATCACACGTCATCATTAACTGCTTTTTATATCGGTTCAGCATAAAAACAAATTCCCAAACATTAAAAAGCAGAATATGGGATGATCGCTATTGCATGCAGTCTTTTTATGAAAATCCGAATAACATATTACAATATAATCTATGGCTGTTATTTGAACGAATTAAAAATCGCAGTAACAAAATTAATAAAGTGCAGATGAATCAGCGTGACTGTTCCCGGAATGCTTTGCAAGTTGATTAGGCGACATGAGAGACACGTAGACTCGTGGCATTCGATTACAAGGTTTATGAATAATTATTGAAAGTGCAGACTGTCGACAAGAAATTCTTGAGCTATTTATACCAGGTTATTCAGTTGAAAAACAGCAGCTGAACATTTTACCATAAGGATCAAATTGATGCGCTAGCTTCAGTTGGTATGTTTGGGCTGAATGAGCTGGTATAATTTATTCGTAGAATTAATTATACTTGAGTAAAATAGAAACGAAGTGCTTGCGGTAGTATGATTTTCTCAGACAAACGTTCATGTTAGAAAAACTAAACAGACTTAATAACAATATATAAAAATATTTAAGTCGACCACTTTACCCTTTCGTAGTTGAGTGAAAATATTGTGCGAGTGTAGACACACTGATTAAATAATGTGGAGAAAAAATTGCACAAGAAATATCTTCCTGTGCTAAAAATGTACGAGCGTGTGAATAGATGGACCTACGTATGAGGGAACATACGAATAGAAGTGGGAGGCTATCACGCTTCTATCACGTGCTCGCTTAACAGGCTCGCACGACTATTCGGTCTGTGTGTAATACGAATGCAGCCGTACCCTTAGTAACACGTATGGAAATGTATGTGTATGCTACGTGCGCCATCTGTATTGGTTACCATAAATTTTCGTTATTCATTTGTTGTTTATGTATACGGTTACACATGCTCAGTAGATTCAACTGTATTTAGTTTAATACGCACGAAGCGAATTCGTCCACTCCTTGCATTTGGACTCTGTGGAGCATAACGCGGAATGGCATGAGGCCTTAAGGAGAATCCACACCGGATCTATTCAATAGAATATTTGCGCATAAGTCTATTAGAAAGACAGCGACGAGCACATTAGGAAGTCATTGAATTTCATTATAGAATATAAATTGTAGTTAAATACTTGTCATACCTTATGTTTAAAACCTCGCATTCTATCTCGTAGGCAACGAAGGTGAACGTTCTCCAATGCTCTTAAAGATCCTTGCTGAGATTGAATCGCTGGTAGCTTTAGAGACTCTAAAGGAAAATAGCACTAAATACCTGTACATTCTTAATCTTTAATCTTCTTATTTTAAATCTTCTTACATTATTGTATCCTCTCGCAATTTATCCTTATATTCGTTTTCTGTTGTATTGGATATCTGTGTTAATTCGTTTATGATTGATTTATAATCATTGACAGTTTTCCATATTGATCTTTGAGTGTGAGTAATTTTCATGTACTGAATAGCAAGAATGGTATTCATAAAAGTTTTATAAATAGGTAAGGTCTCAATCATGAATATTTAGATAAAATTCTTCTAGAACTTAATATGTAATAGCATTGACAAAAAATTCTGATGTCAGTCATACGGTTTACCCATAACAGTGCGAAACGTTGTGAATACGTCGACGCATGGGCGTAGCGATGCTGCTTTTAGTTTCGATAGAGACGCGCATGCGCGGAGAGAGAAACTTCTGGAAGGAAGAAACGATCTCACTTCGGTTTGGCAGATACCTTGAGCTAGGTGCCAAGGCTTTAATATCGTTTAAATATTGCTAGACATCATCTTCTGGTCTTCCGTGATCAGTGATTCTTTTTCTTGTCAAAACAGCTTACGTGCTCGTGTCGTGTGTAGAAAGTCGTCAGCTGTTTCATATCAAACGGACGCTCGTGTACTCACGGTTAGAAATCATTTACGAGCTTCTTGATTTGAATATCAATAAAATAATGGCTGTCGATGTGTACGCCTTCCTTCACGATAATCTGCGCATTCAATGCTTCAAGAAATCATATCTGGGTAAGTAAGAGACTAGACCCTGACCAGTAGCGTAGCATGAAAATAAATATGGAATCCAGAGTTGCTTTGCTGAGAATCGCACTGGACAACGTCGCTGTGCACATTTCAATTAGCGTGATTACGTTAGTATTCATTATATGTATATTTATATACGTTAATTATTGCTTTTGTAAATGCTCAAACAATTTTCAATATTTAGGCTGCATGATATTACCTACAATAAATAGAAAATCTATCCTGATCACGATAAAAGGATTGTGCAGTAGTAGTTATCCTGTATTGTAAATTGCTCGTTTTATTTATTAGAACTACGAAGTTACGATTTCATTACTCGTATTCGTTTCCAGAAACGTATAATAACCTACGTTGTAGGTTTTGACAAATCGATAACCCCGCCTCAAAGCTAACCGGGAAGAGCTGACCCTAAAGAGGCGTATTGACAAAGTTATACATGATTGTAGATGGCGCAACGGTCGCAGTGTAGCTGCCTTCCAATTCTTTTCCTGGAAGGGTTTCTGTCCAATTCCTTATTGAACTTTAACCTGATTACTATTCTCCATTAGATTTGGTGCAAAACCCTTCAAATAAGAAACAAACGAACATAAATATAACGAAACGTTTACCTTCGTATCCATAATCAAGCTAAAACTAGTAACAGATCGTTACATATTATTTTAGCAGCCTCACGTATCCATGCTGATTATCAATCTACCCGACAATAACAATACATTCCTAAAAATATAAGGTAATATTGACATCCGACTCAATAATAGCACATTCATTATATAATTTTGGTATAAGATGTCGGTGTACGTGGGCGTGAACAGCTATCACGGTATCCCCACTTCCTTCGTTATCCCTACTTTATTTATGCATATACTTATCACCACAATACATCATCTCATATCTCATAAAAATCAAGTAATAAACATGTCACACGAAAAATGTACGAGTTTATGCTTTGATATTTCTTATCTTGCCAACTTTTTATTAAACCATCGCTGTTTTCATTAAAGTCGAGTTCAGAGGTGAAATACGCGTGTTGTATATTTATATATTACCAAGCTATAAGTATTCATTCAATGTATTTCAATCCTCAGCTGATTAAATCACATACGACAAATTTTCAACGTACAACATTTAAACGCGATTAGACAGTCACATTTGTTAATTCATTTTATACCTTGCGCGTCATGGATCAATCCTACTTAATCCTGTATGACGACAACATGACCAGCCCCGTCGACAATAAACAAGTTAATGCCTGATTAGCTGAGTATTATTATAATAATAATGAGATGCATTGAAATAAAAAATTCAAATCTCTTGTCTCACGTTTGCTTTGCAATTTCTAATTATACTTTACTTCTTTTTACTTCGAGTCTTCTCAACAAACGCTCGTTGAAAATCAGTTTTCGTTGTGCCTCATAACCTATAAATCGCGTAACGATCATCGGGACTCTTCTTGCGTAGCTATTTGTGTCAAGGTTGTGTCACTTTTAAATAAATCCGCGCCTTTACGGTACTACGTGACAACGTCAATAACATTTATCTCAATGTCGAGAGAAGATTGTTTCTCGCATTGCCGACTGTCAATGTGCACGTGATATGGTTATTGCTATCGTTACGCAGAAAGAAAACTTTTTTTTCTAACGAACTAAATTATTATCTAGATACATATTTATATTTATTTATAGACACCATTGGTTGTTTATGAAATACTATCGAAGATCGTGAAGAAGGAGACACTCCTATTATATTGGTTAATTGTACCAATTGACACATTTGATACTGGAGCCAGCAACCTCGTACTAAATTTGTTGTTTATCCCGGGTTTAGGGCGATGGGTTATATTTAGGGGGCGCTCCTTGTTAGGAGATAAATGAATTCTACCCCGTTAACGATGTCTCAACGTATCAATGGTTAGCCATGTGTAATGGTGGGCGTTACGTTGCTTTGCGTGGGGAGTAGCAGCTTCCACGTGGCATGGTTTTTTATGCGGTTAGATTTCTTATTTCCGTTTAGTCTACGTCCGCTTGTCTTGATTGCATGTGAAATCTTTTTCACGGTGAAAGAGTTTACTGATTCTTTTGGTGTCTGCTTATGCATCGCGTACGTAGCACAAATGAGAATATTGTTCAATATTTAATTTTAATAACTTGATAAGGTACAATTTAATTGTCGCACGTCGAAATATCACGCGTGTAAGTATTTTATGGAATTCCTTATCAGTTTGATGTTATCCTGAAATTAATTTGGCTTGATGTATATGATAATGATGGCATGTAGATTATCCAATGCTTGATTATCATTTGAGACTGGTTAAGAAAGTGTTCATTTCAGATTATGATAACGTGAGCGTGATGTATTGATATTCTTTTTTAATTTGACGAATTGTTCGTACATACAAGTGCGATTGGGAATTTCGCAATCGGTTTAACCGTTGATATAATTTGATAAGATATTTCAAAAAATGTTTTATATATTGTTTATACAGTGACGCACGTCAGATTAATTACAGAAAAAAAATTTATCACGGAGGATTGGCACTTGTTTTCTAATTACAGGGCGCTACGTAAGCTGTAATTATCGGTTTTTATATTTATTATACGTAGTAGGCGTGCAAAATTGTTTTTGGATTTTTGGTAATACGTTGTTTAGTCTTATTCAATGTGGAATCGTTTGTGTGTTTCGCGAGGCATTGTAATGGGGTCTTTCTAATTTAACTCGACTCATCGAAAAAGAAATGATACAGAAAAAGACACGTTTCTCAAAATTAGGCACATTGAAGTTATGTTAAATACGTTATGTTATGCTTTGTTAAATGTCAAGATATGTTAAATTGACTACGACTAAACAGGCTTGCGGAAATGAACATTCTTATTACACATCATCTGACTATTTTCGACTGGCTGACCTTGCTTCTCAGTTAGCGATTGACCCGCGAGCGATTCTAAAGTGCCTGCACGTAGTAAATACCAATTTAAGCATGAGCACCCACAAAGTCAATGCAAGGAAACTAAAGTCAGTCAGTCGTGCATTCGTGAATTCGCCGCGGGGAAAGTTCACTTGGAGTTTTGTTAGATTTCTTAAATCCTGAAAAACTTTCCACGAAGGCCATTACGAAAATTTTCTATGGACCTGCTTCGAGCTTACCTGCTGTTTGTTCAAGTTTAGCGTACCCCGTCATAAATTAATCTTGTAAAATTTCAAAGGTTTAACAATACAGCCCCAATCCCGGTATAATTCCACAAGTGCGTAAGCCAGGCCATAAAGAAGCCTGAGACCCAAGATGATACATAGTAACGTCTGTGAACTATAACCTACACGTAGGTTTTCAATTGTAGTATCCGTATACCGTTTAAAAGCGAAGAATCTTTTTCCCAACAGTCATTCATACTTTGAAACGAGCTGTATCAAAATAAAGATCTTCGGACGGACGTGCCCGGTTCACGTAACCAACATAAGGAACCGGTGGAACGAGCGAACACGTGCTCAGTGAGTGATAGAATTTTTCGAGGCGATTATAGGCCTGGAGAAAAGGTGGATGGCGAAGGCGCCTAAGGTGGGGAGTGAGCAGCGACGCCACCGATCCGACGGCAAAGGAAAAAAATAGAGGAGTAGCTGCCTCTCGGCTGAGCCAGTACGCAGTCGTCTTTCCCTTGCGCTCGCACCTGGACGTTGGCGTCCTCCTCTGACACTCCCCTTTTTGCGTGTTTACACAAGCAACGAACGTGCGCCAGACTAGGCGTTGTGATCGTCGAGTAGCGTCTAGGCGAAGGAACGTGCAATTTCAGTTCCAGTGACGACGCTCGCTGACATCGTCACGCGTATCGATTGTTATTTCTACGTTTCTTGAATGCTTATTAACAGAAGTCTCATTTTCATTCGCCGGTATTCGCACGTGACTTGTTTTAGTGTCATAGAAATTTGTGCAAGCTCAGAACAGTATTCGCGTACCGGTACGCCTACCGATTTTCTATTTTTATACTCTGAGGGTATATCGAAATCTGCTTTACCCCATTCGAGTCTCTTGGTGAGACATGATATTAGTGACCCCTGATAACAACAATCGTTGGGTCTACACCATGCATGGTTTGGAGAAGCCAATGGATCACATCTCTGGTAATTGTCTTCTCGTTTCTTCTCAATTATTTATTTCTGAACTCTTATTATCTTATCGTACGTTATTGTGAAACGTTGGATATACGCACTTCGTTGTTGTTGTGTTCTTTGGCTTACGTCGAAGAATCCTTACAGAGGCGCTTAGGCCTTTGAAAGTTTGCTTCTTGTCAGTGGTGCATCACTTTTAAGTTTGTTAAACTTTCTCTTAACGAGTTTGTGTTGACAACACTGATCTACACCGTCATGACTTTATTCACATGAGTACAGAGCGTGAGACGATGCTGAGACGTGTGTGCGACTACGAAATACGGTAAAACATAATTTTTGTTCAGTGGTATGTCGTTTCACTCGTTGAAGAATAATTGGCACATGACGATATTCACAAGGATAACCGGTTATGCGAAGAACTTTATTCGTCACGAGTGCATTATTTTCGTATGATCATAATTGAACGATATTTATTCGATTTTCATCGATATTGATTTAGATAATGCATTTAGGCATTTCGTAAGGACAGTGGAAATTTACAAATTTTCATCGACGAGGCACACCCACATTATAATGCTCGATAACACATTGCAGATATGTTATCTGTATTATATATTATGACTACGTTCTAATGTTATTTATTTATACTCTTGCTAAATGTTTACAATCTAGATGCATTCCACTTCACGGAACAGTATCAAATAGTCGACCCAATATTATGAGGAATCTCAACGTTGACGCGTCGTCGACGCATTGCAATTTTTAAAAATAAATTTAATGTTGTCCACTCTTGGTTAACCTTCGCATGTATGCCCGGATTATGCGTTATCGGATCGCAGCTGTGCCAAAACCAAGCGATAACAAATTTTCCTTTTTTTTCCTGCATATACTCAATGGCGTACGTTGTCATATTTTAAACGTATCTTATCGCGATTATGATTTTTCTGCGTATTCTCGGATTTCGTGGTTTCAGGACACTTTTTTTAAAATTCCCTTTCTCTCTTCTCTGACCGCCTTTTCGCATCAATACCGTTGTCCATAGAACGGTCAAGGATCGAGAACGTATTGCCACGGTAGCCGGGATATCATGGTATTTTTCCATTAGCGTACCCGACTGTTAGCTTCGAAGGATACGTGAAGCAAAAAACATTTTTTTTTTAAATTTATATAATAAGGTGATAATGATTTTTTATTTTTTCTACATACCATGTACGACCAAAATCGTAGGGTAAAAAAAAGTTTTCGTGCTTCAATGATGATAATTGATTGGTAAATATTTTGCAACGAAGTTGTACGTTAATTGGGGAGTATAATTTGACAGTTTCTTTTTCTCCCGCGAGCTATGCACTTACAGTCGAAGGACACGAAGGAGCTAATTTTTATAAAATTTCAATGCCTTGACGAATTGACTGAATTACGGAATCGATGACTTATAATTGAAGAAGCTTCTGGGTGTCTATATCAAATTGCGAAGGAATGGAGGTGGTGGTTACTCACTGACGATCAATACCGGCGTCCGCCATTGTATGCATTAGACAATTACGTCTCCGTATGGCGTACTAATTTTACAACATTACTTGCAGGTCAGATATACATAGCAGCCTAACTATAATAACGTTTACGTGGCGCGTCGATTGGACTTTTCTCATCTCAAGTGCAAATTGCGTCCACGACTTTATTAATAGAATGACGACGCACCGCTGTTACCCCCTTTAGTGGGTCGAATACGTCATCTTTTGCTTACATGTAATTTTTCACACTGGAATTCGTTATCGCACGGTCTCATCCTTGCGTTTAAGACACGACGACTGCATTAATTATTATAAATTTTTGTTTATTTATAAAAAGAAAAATTTTTTTAATCGAACCTTTTCATAACGGCAAATTTTTGAAAATTTTCACAAAATTTGCTCCCGCCAGACCTCAAAACTCGTACACGCAAGCAAACATCATTCGTTTGTTGCTCACGCTATAATAAATATTTGCATGGTTATTATTATAATAGTAAACAAATTTAAAAATAAAATGCATACAAAAAACTTGTAAAAAAACAATTCACGAGCAGATTTTTCAACACCGATACTTCCGGCTCGCTTTTTTCACTCTCGAATGTTTTTCCAAGTGACGTTTTCATGCGTTGTTACGATCTACTAATGTGAAAAATTTTGTGGAATTTCTCAAAAGGCAATTAAAGTTCTGACGAGTAAAATGTCATTAACTGACGTCACGTTAAATCGACTCGTATACAAACTGATAGCCGTTCTCGAATTTCGAGGTATAAAAAGACTGAGCAGTGTAGAATCGGGTAGTTCAGTTCATTGAAAGTGTCACAGACGTAGGAACTATCGAGCGTCATTGAATTGAACTTCAGTGGTGTCACAGTAGATGGCGGTAAATGACGACTGGTAGTGATAAGTCAAGTTGCTGAGAAAGATGCGTGCGAAAATATTTTATCGGTCGCCCCCGTGTTGCTGCGCTATCCACTTCGTGGCCTGTATATGTATAATAATATGAATCATGGGAACGTGGGCAAATATTTGCATCCGATGCGTCCTCTCTTTATATTCAAGACTGGTATATAATGGAGAGGAGGGAGAAGCTGATAATATGTGTTTGTCCAGCAAAGATTCGTTTCTAACTCTGTATATCATTTCATTTGCACAGCTGGAGGTGTGATGGCGGGTTCGGTGGCAACTCTTGCGGTCCTCTGGATCTCGCTGCAGACAATGGGATTCCTGGGGCAGACTGGCTCGATCACTGCTTCCAAAATACCCATCTCGATTCAGACTTACCTGGCAACGTATACAGGTGAGGATCGAGTTTCGATTTCGTTAGAGAATAAATATTCGTGAGAGTTCTTTCGAGCGTTAGAGAAACAATTATTTACATCTCTGATGTATTGTAAGAAACGTTAGTCTTTGATAAAATGATTTATTCTCTATGATAACCCGATACGTCTTTTAAAGATATCTTTATGAATTTCTGAAAGGCCTTTTCGCAGGGCTACCTTCTACGGACTATCGGCACGAGCTCGTCATTGACACCGCAGGCTTTAACAAGAGAAGATTACCTCATATCCATGAGAAGGCTCTGAACGCTTCGGTTAACTTTGCTCAGACACTTGTCAACCGGATGTCCAGACTGGAGGCAAATATTGCTAACGCGGGAATTGGATTTAGCGAAAAAAGTCCCAGTTACGGGCAGTATGTTCATTCGTATCCGTCAGATGACGCCTTGGAATATGGAACTGATGCTGTAATCGCTATGACGGCTTCGAGCTATTTGGCGCAGCATCACTGTCAAAGGTACCTTGTTTTTTTTTCATAATCAAGAAAAGTACGCTGGTGTTAACGGTGCTTCTTTCATTGCAGATTTGGCATTAGCAATGACGAGTGTGCGCGACTTGTGTCGACCCTCAAACTTCATGGAACTCCTTTGGGCCCTTCCTGTTTGGCTGATCAATTCGCGGACTGTAATGCCGATGCCAAGTACAGGAGCATCGATGGAAGCTGTAATAATTTAGAGAATCCAAGACTGGGCAGCGCTCTGACCGCGTACACCAGAGTTCTCTTTCCCCAATATTCCGATGGTGAGCATCTCTTCGGATGATGAGGACTTGTTGATTGATGTAACGATTCATTTGCATGGGCTCATCGATCTCATTTTTCTTACGAACAAGATAACGGGAACACGTAACAGTAGATCATCCGCGTTCCTATCGGACTTTTGCCTACTTCTACGCGGTCTCGTTCGCTTAGTTTCGGTGTCTTTTCAAGGTCACAGAGAGATCTCGGCTCAGTATTTTGTTCCTGCGGTGCGTTAATTGTGCCATAATAATCGTTATAATTATTTACAGCCCTACGAACGTTTAGCGCATCCCATTCCTTCTGACAAATTTCGCTGTTGTCCGAAAACTTTAGCTTTCTCGATTGTGCGTTCTGTACTCGCTATTGATTCTCTGGAGAGGACTCATGGCTGGGATTAGGTATTAGGGGTTGCTTTAAAAATTCTTTTGAAATACAGGCCAATGAAGTTATTTTCAGAATTCATAATATTTGTCCAAAGTGTCTACAGTACTGTTGATCGGTTTTATGAGTGTGGTGCTTCTTTTAGAAATAGCATTGGTGGTACTTGGAATTTTTGTTGGGGATAAAACTTGTTCGATCGCAATTTTAATTTGCGACTGTATGTGGTTTTTTTGTGTGTGTGAATAATTGTAAAAGTTATTAAGGGGGGGCTAGGTGCGAACCATATTATTGTAAAGTTGCCACTCGGTGAATCCATTAAGATCATAAAGAGTTTTGTATAGATAAGATTGCAAGGTCAACCGACTCAAGATGATAATTCTATTGGTTATATTTAGTCGAGACTTAATAAAAAGATTTAGGTCACATCAAAAGTTACAAAGAGGTACTTTGGTAGCTGTACGTTTTCTGGTTAGATAGTCGTTTCTCCATCGGATTGTGCTTTTACGAAGATGAGTATCTATTGGTACAAGAACATTTTGAGAAATATAGTCAAAATTTGGGAACTTTTTTTTTCCTCAAAAAAAAAAAAAGTTACCCCAATCACTATCCACTAGTTTTTCATAAATGCTGTGTACGAATGTACGTTATCGTTACATGAAAGCTCGACCAGATCTTAATTGTGATAAAACAAAAGTTCATAGGATCTTGAATTTCCATCGCAACACACAATTTGTCCTATCCCTACATTCCAATCATTTTATTTCTCGGTGAAACTACGAATTCACGTAGTAACCGTGATTCGTCTTTACTCAAAGTTCACTTACCAACTTATGTACGTCTCTGACATACATGTACAGATTTGGTCCACAATTATTCTTCAGTACTTATTAATTCTTTCCATCCACTTTCTCATGTACTTTTGTACACAGAAAAGCCAGGTGGGCTCAGTATTTCTATCGTCTTCGTTCTATAATTTCCATACCATTTCCTTGTCCTTGGACTTTTATATTCACATTCTGCATCCTTTTCTCATTGCATCGTGCAATTACGTGTCCTTCATGACCTCCACGAACCTCTTGGTGCAGTACGCATCCCTGGGCGCTGGTGGATAACGTTCAACGATTGGCTTAACAAATTATATTCTGTGATTTGCATTACAGTTGTTGTGCGATAAGGCACATAGAGCATAAAATGCCCGAGTGTAGCAGTGAATAATACTGCCTACAATAGAGTGCCCCGGTCGGGAGATTCTATCCAGCATTAGAAGTGTATGTAACCTAATTCGGATATACCTAATATTGTATCATATAATTACGTAACTCTAGTCCAGACTTTTCGTTGATGCGGCATACGGTTCACGGTAGGCTTCGGGCATGAGAATTCAATTGAGAGTCCATAACGGTTTTTACCTGAATATCCATAATTCCGTGACACTAATAATATTATACCTTTAAAACGTCGTCGTAATTTATCATGCGATCAGCAGCACGAAGATTCACCGTTTCATTAGTTTCTAATTAACTCCTTAACAACAGTGAAGATCCGGCAAGTCGTTTACTTTTTTTTTCTTTTTTTTTTTTTTTCTTTCAAATCAAAGAATTTGCATTCATGTTGAAAGCAATGCTTATTCGATATACCGTTACTCGCTCTCGTTTGGATTCACTTTGCTTGGAGACCTTCATCAGCCAGTTAGATAAGTTTTTTGGGGCCTCCTCCACAAGCGTTCTTGATCGATAACAATAGGTACGGATCGCACGACAATTAATCCTGAGCTACCGATACGGATCGTCGATTTATTACCAGTGCGCGATCTAAAAGCGAAGTGTGGATCCCATTGAATAGCTAACGAGCTAGGCCTATTAAGGAAATTCGAGCTTACGTGAGAGTCAAATATCAAGAACGCTTTTTCGGGACGCCCTTATAGTAGATCCTTTGAAATACTTTGCAGCTCCAGAATAGCTCGTCTTGCGTAAGAAATAATTGAGGATTATTCACGATGTCGAAAAGTATATATATACGAGGATTACGGAAAAATATATATTTTACGTAGTCCGCTACATGCGCGTGTTGCACTTCTCTTGGGCTGCAAGGAATACCTTATGCGCAAATCGGAGTAACCCGAATGATTTTACTTATTCGATAAATTTTTGTGTATTTTTGTGTATTAGAATTTTGAAATTGTATATTTAACGTTTGGTATAACATAATTTTCATAAAGATGTTTTAAGGATTATTAATACGGGGTGTAAACAAATTTTATATTTTTTTCTCTAATTAGAGTTCTACGAACACGTAGATATAGGGTAATGAAGATTGCTATTTAATTATATCTTCACTGATATTCCAAGAACCATGCTGTTCTTCCGCGTCATTTCGAACTTTACTCCGATTTGATTTTTCGCGAAATCCAAAACGACAAGCATCTAAAGTTTCTCTTGGGTTCAGGCATTAAAGAGCTGAGGCGTGCAGAGCGAAAGAGAAAATTACTACCAAGTGGCAGAGCTGTCAGTCTTAGCCTCTCCGTCGCTCACGACGTAATCGACATTTCCAAGACACTGGCCGTCATGCAGTGGAGTGAATTTATTGCTCACGACCTGGCACATACACCAATGCGTAAGATGCGTAAGTAGTACCTAATTAATAATCCTATTTGATGTCATTTCAAAGAATCAGCAATATCTTGAGCTTTTTAAAATTTCTTTTAGTTTCAAACAGAGAACCTATCTCTTGTTGTCATGAGAACGGTGGTATGTTATCTCCAAGACACATCCATCCTGATTGTGCACCCATTTCAATTGCTGAAGATGATCCCGTTTATGGAAAGCATTCCGTGCGATGCATGAACTATGTTAGATCAATGCCTATCATCAGGCCAGATTGTACCTTCGGTCCGGCTGAGCAAGTAAGTTGTCGATTAATGAAATATTTTATTCTATTGATCTATGCTGAATATTCTAATATATCGTTTTGAATGGTTCTTTTTAGATAAATCAAGTCTCTCACTTCCTGGACGGTTCCACCGTCTATGGCTCTACGTTGAAGAAGTCTCGCGAATTGCGCAGCTTCCAAGGCGGACGTCTGCGTGTCGATATTCGTAACGGAAATACATATTTACCTACTGCAGATTCCGAACCGAGCTCCCTTTGCCATTCCAAGGAAGGATGTTATATGGCTGGTGTGTTTGACTTTGCATTCTCTTATAATTTTGTTGGTCCTGGAGCTCGAATGGGGCATAAGTGGGATCGCTGAGAAAGAAGTATTATTGTTTTGTAACACACCTGATACTTTTATTAGGGGATGCTCGTGTTAACGCTCAACCACAGCTGGCTGTGATGCACACAATTTGGCACCGCGAGCATAATCGTGTTGCTAGAAAATTGGCACAAATAAATCCACTATGGAACGATGAGATTCTGTATCAGGAAGCTAGACGCATTGTGGTTGCTGAGATTCAGCACATCACGTATAGGGAATGGTTGCCGGTACTGCTTGGCAGAAGCTACGCTCGTAATGCAGGGCTTAGTACGGGTAAAAGTTACAGTCGCAATTACAATTCCTATGATGATCCTGCAGTGAGCAATGAAGTTGCGACTGCAGCGTTGCGATTCTTCAATTCCTTGAAGCAAGGCAAACTCAGGTGTGTAAAGTATCGAAGATATTATTTTTATTCAACGTATATAATGTGCATTAGTCAAAGTATTTAATGATTCTCGTATCGTTGCAGTATGCCTGATGAAACTCGTCAATTCAATAACTCTCTTCAATTATCTGATTACTTCTATAATCCACGTATTATCGAATCTGACGATGTGTTCGATGGTCTTCTTCGTGGTCTTGCCACTCAAACTTGTCAAAAGATGGATACGAATCTCATATCTGATGTAAGTATATTTAGTTCTTTTTTTCTTGGCGTAAATTATATTCATAACGCTGATTTATTACAATACTAGGTTGCTTACAAATATTTTTTATTATAGATAACTTATAAATTATATAAGACTGATGGGGAATGGGGTCTGGATACTATTAGTTTGGATATTCAACGTGGTCGTGATCATGGTCTGCCTGGTTACAATCATTACCGTAAATATTGTGGTCTTCCAGAGGCTAAAACTTTTGATGATTTCCTGGATTACATTCCACTAGAGGTACGTAGAGGAGTTGCAGGAAAATTCGTAATTCAATGTAGAATCTTAGGATTTACTTGAACTTTGAACTTATGTTCTCTTTTTATCAGATGGTAAGGAAACTCCGTACGCTATACAATCATCCCAACGACATTGATCTTGTTATTGGCGGAATGGCTGAAAGATCAGAGGATGATGGTATTTTGGGACCAACTCTACAATGTCTCCTGACCGAACAGTTCGTTCGAACTCGTCGCAGCGATAGATTCTTCTATGACTCCGTAACTCAGCCGCACCCATTCACACCAGGTAATTACGCATCGGTGCAAGCTCAGCAGGAAAAAAAAAACATTAAATATCAATCTAGAAATATTTTTCTAATCTTTTCTTTTCTTGCAGAACAATTGGCAGAGTTACGCAACGTCACTCTGGCGAGGTTATTCTGTGATAACGGTGATAATATTGCCCGAATGCAACCAAACGCTTTCATGAAGCCCCAGCTCGGGTAAGTAAAGCGATACTGTCGTTAACATTATCATTCGCATTACTGAATCTTTGTAACTGATTGTTTATTCTTTATGAATTACAGAAACGAGTTGACGTCATGTCATAATGTTGAAGCAATACCGAGTGTAGATCTATTTGCATGGGCTGAGAAGGCCAAGGCGTATCGTTGAATGTCACGTTAATTGACTGGTCACATTACCGAAACGAAAAGCCCGGAGCTTGCAGTTCGGCTTCGAGATAGAAGAAATCGAAGTGGAAAAAGTGGAACGGTTACCCGGGTAGAGGTACAAGTAATGCCGGATGGATTATTGAATTAAGGGATAGAAGGCAACGCTAATGCGTTGTGAGTCACAGTAACCGGTGTAACCGCGAAGTTAAGATGGGCGTGAGATGAAAATGTTTGTTTACCTATATTTATATAGGCTCATGTGGTTGTTTAGCGTGCACGCAATTGATGCGCTCAGTGATGAATTGAATTAACGGTGACGGCAGGTGACTAGTCGATTATCAACACGATGACGATGTTCCGCGTTTCGGCCTGCAAAGGTAATTTTACAGTAAGGAGATTCGTCTATTGTCTTTAGAAGTTACTTCAGGATGCCCTTAAGGTTTTAATCCAAACTCTCGTAGGCGAATCTAACAACGTATCTTGTAAGTGTGTGCATCTGAGAGTATGAAATACGGACATAAGATATAACATTCCAAGTTGTCGATAGAGATACCCAAGAAGATAATTCTAACTGCAAACAAAGTTCGTTTCGAGCTACACCTTAACTTGGAACCATTCGATCTGAATCATCGAGGAGACCAGATGTGAATAAGTATTAAATTATACTTTTTTTTGTCGTCTAAGATATCTCGCGTGACGTTATTATTTAAGACCGCTTAGATTTTACCGGGCGATGAGAAAACACTTGTGGCACATTTTGAAATTAATATCCAAGCAGCACGCATGGCGGCAATTCGTGTACGGCTTGCCATGCGATAAATAATACGTTACAATACCATGACGACTCACTATGCAATAACTGGTAATACATTGTTGTTATTATTATTATAGCTCGCGTGTTTTTAATCTTCAGTTTAATAAAATACAGTATAGTTCCTCGAGTTTGATGAAACGATAATTCGTCATCATATCGCAAATAATATTGTTGATATATTTTTTTTTTTTAATAAAACAACAGAAACATTCTCAGTGTAAAATGGATGTTAAATCATGCGAACAAATGTCGACTCGAATTAATTATATTTATTGAAGAGGAAAAAAACAAATTTGTTCCTCAATCTTTGTACGTCCGTGGCGGAGAATAAGTTGTAATTCTAAAAACATGTTTGCACGTTAAGCGTTTCATACCTGTCTACAGTGTCCAAAATATGTACATGCGTATGTACGTGGGAATGTGATTGTGACTGATTAACTATAGATAGATTACAAAGCATTTTGTACGTAATATTAGTACTTAAGTTGTATAACACGATCATCCTGTCTTGTTAGATCTGTTTAAACGACTTACGCATTTATCGATTAAAAATTATTTTACTCTGAATACTGAGTTCATTTTCTTTACATTACTTATTATGACAAATCTTGTAACACTATTTCGCATTAATTAATCCTAAGTAGTTGTACGAGGATGTTATTTAAAAAAATAAAGAATAGCACTCTCGTTGACGATTTAATAGAATTGACAAATAAATGGAAATACAAAAGGACTAAATTTTGTATGAAAAGTTGTCGCAGTATTTGCCTTCATTTTCAAAGAGGAAGGTTCTACCCCAGACACGCATAACTTAGTTATGACACAATGGTCCTTGACGGTCAGATTAAATATCGACTACTAGGATATTGGTGACTGACCTCAGTGGAACTTAAACTTGCTTTACTAAGCAAAATGGGCTAAGTCCGAGGTCTGTCAAGAATTTAGCTTTACGTTCGAGTTTAGCTCTAAGAAAACGAAAGGGATACCCAAGAATTTCTGGAACAAGATCGGTGCACTAAATACATAAAAAGAGAATGGAATTCGCCACAGTAACTGGAACATGTAAATCTTCAATAATTACAGGTTTCCGTTTACCACGTTATGCCTGTCACTTTTAATCTACAGGACATCTGTGCTGTAAAAGGAGTACTAGTTTACATAACGAGATGTTCATACGATGCACGACTTGCATTAGGTTGACATTCGTTACAAAGCAAAGGGACGTGCATAGGATTTTCAGCAAGTGTACATGTAGTTGGTTTTAGTTACCCGGTATATAATTTGGCACGAAACACTCTTGTTTACTTGCATCTCAGTACCGAATAGAGTCTAGGCGAAACTTCTAAGAAATATAAAAATCACAGTAGCTGTTATACATTCAGAAAGTGTTATTCATCGTTATTGGCATTCGCTCAGGTCATGAGACTAACTTGCTGTACATATCACTTTCGAATTGTTTTATTAAAAAGAATACTTTCTTTGTCTTGGAAAGTCATTGGCGTGGCGAAGATGTGCATTGGTTTTCATGAATTTGTTTAGTGCTTATCGTTCGAATACTCTTAGTATATGATCTTTGCGTGATACGTCAATACGTGTTAACGTAACAGGTTATGTATTGCTTACAGAAAATTTGACGCTATGAATCACTGAAAAGGATAGTATTAATAAGCGTGTAAGCATTGAATGAAACAAAAGCCTTGAAAAGTGCATTGACATTGGATGATTGACAATCTGTGTAATTTCGAGGTTAGGAAATTTTGCAAATCATCGTTACGCCTTTGATATCCGTATGATTATTGGGGATCGGATCACCCTGTTGCGTAAGCATAGGTATATATATAAAAATTTCATTAAAAGAAAATGGCAACAAAAGAAATATACAAAAAATCAATTTGGCGTCAGTCTAATTTACTGATAATGAAAATTACGTATTGATGCATCTTTGATTGAATTTGTATAATCTGAGTCTAAAAAAAGTCAAAATTCAAAATTGCTACACTCGATTTCAATCAGTGATATTATCGTAATCACGTGCAATTTGTGGTGTGTATGGCGGACGTAACACCTTTCTCTTTTTGATTGGTCCAATTTCAAGGAACAATTTATAACTCACGTTATACCATTTTCTAATGGAGGACGGTTACTTTTGGTACGATAGTTTCAAGGGCGTTATCAGTTTCGATCACGTGGAACCATTCTATTCGGTTCCATTGATAGTGAAAGTAATTAATGTACTTTTGTAAAATAAAATATACTATGACAATTTTTCGAAATTTAATCTTCGAAAAATATATAAATTTATATTTAAATAAAAATGATTACGTGCGCTCGCGATAAGGTTTACGTGGAATGGATTTCACTTAATTATTCCCTCATATTAGCTAAACGTTACGGTTCACGGATAGATGGACTTGTTCATTTTTATTATACGTGATTCACTCCAACTTGCGTATTTACGAAGGATAGTTATTATAATGAAATTCAACTGTTTATTTATTGAAAAAGTTCATTTATCTTTTTAACACTTTCAGGCCCTGCAAAGCCTATAATTTCTATGTCGTTGCCGTCTATACTAATTCATTATTAAATAATTATAAAGGATTGTACGAATTTTTAATAAACTTTTAATTTTTTTTTAAATCAAAAATATCCTTGTACACTCGTTACCAGCACGATAATATACAACTCGAATTTCATTCATAAATAATTTTATTCCTAGCCGTTACGAACATTTACAACCTACTATACAGTTCATGTAGATAATTCGATCTTGATAACAGACTATTAGGCTCATTGAATACATAGCGCAAACTCCAGTTGTCAGATCACGCAATGTCCAGTGAAATCATTTACGAACAATAAGAGTAAGACATTAATTCTGATTTAATAATTCATTATGTTAATCGTGCATTAAAAAAAAAAAAAAAAAAAAAAAAAAAAAAAAAAAAAAAAAAGAAAAAAAAAAAAAAAAAAAAAAAAAAAAAAAA